GTGTCTACGGATGCACGTTGGCAACATGGGCAAAGTTGCCGACTTGCCACGCACACAACACTGACTCAGCTGTTATGTTGCAATGGTTGTGCGTTTAACCAAGCCGCACAACAGCCAATGAAGTTTCCTCAAATGCGTTCACTGCACATCGCCCCGTGTATTTCTCCAGGCCTCCATCATGTTTATTAAAAAAAATGATTATTAGAGGACCCCCGGAAAAGGCAACGGGTTCCTCTTTGTTTCCCTGTGCATCGAATCACCAGGCTCTTTTCCCAAAGAAACAAAATCGAGCCGCGCCCTTGGACTCCGTTGGCTCCGTCTTGACTCCGCCCGGCCGCCGCATGGCTTCGATCTCCTGATGCCATCGGGGGTTGCCATGACGAAACGCAAGCCACACATGGAAGCATGGGGGGGATCGGGGAAACATCAGCACGACCCACTGGAAACGCTCGGAAAACAACGCAAGCAAACAAGGGAAGCACAAGGTGGGCAGCAAGTCGTGGAAAACATGGGCAAACCACAAGCTTTGCTCAGCTGAGCTTCTTCCTTTACCTCCATCTTGACCTGCAACCAAAGGTTGTGCAAGTCAAGACCCTCCTGGCTCTCCTCTTTCTTGCACATGGCGCCCATGCTTTGACTCACCTGCACGTCATGGCGCCGAAGGCGCCGACGCTTTTCAGGTTGCGAGCACGCAGACTCCTGCAGAGTTCCATGTGTTTCCAATCAATCACCACCCAACCAGAAGGAAACAGTGGCGTTTCAAAACAGGCCCGGAGAACTCGCTTCAACTTGGAATCCAACAAGTGACAAGGGGGAACCCCCGTCCTGGGTGGGAAGCTCAACTTTGATGCCGGGTGTGCACCCAGCCTCTTCGATTGCATGCTCCTTTTTGATCTGTACGTTCATGCCTGTCAGGGTCACTTTGCTGCAGTGTTTTCTTCGAACACTTTGGGAGGGCCTGGTAGCGTAGCACGAGCTTCGGCGAAACCTTTGGTTGGGACAAGTTTGGGAGAGGTCTGGGTTCCATATCTTCTGTTGGAGCCCGACAATGCAAGTCTAAAAGTTCCGCCCAAAGGGATCCTCCGAAAGGAGTCCTACAAGGCATCCAACAATCGTTCATTTGTCAAGTTTCTGTGGGGGGCCATACATTTGCTAAACAAACTCACCTTGGAAGCTGCGTGCAACGTCTCCACCGTGCCTTGCGAATACAGAAAGTGCACGCAGGTGACTCTGTGCGCGAGGCAACCGCGTTCCGGTCGTGGCAAAGCTCCGGCGAACGGAGCCGAAAATGCTTCGGAAGCAACGCAGCTGCTCAACTTGCCCTGACGTGACTGCCCGGACAAAAGCTCAACATGTTGCAGATGCTCTCACCTCAGGTGGGCTAATAGTGGCTTCAAATCAGCAAAGATTGATTCACACCCAAATTTCTGTATGGCTCCCTGTCTCGAGCTCTTCACTCCTTGACTTGGTACTCCGTCTAGCGCGTCGCCGTGACGACGCCGTCTTCGAAGACCTCAGACCGCTGGGGCGGAGCAGGTGGTCAACCAGCAGTTGCGCTACAACAAGGCCACTCCTCCACAGGTATTTTGGGGAACAAATGAGGCCAACAACCAAAATACCAGCGGTACATAATGGATAAACAAAAGAAACAACGCATCTGCGTTGTTTGGAAAGGGTCGGATCCAAAGCAATCCGCAGTGGGACTCCACAACAACAAGCGAAACCACTACTCCTTGGCAAAAGTGCTACCTCCATTTGCTGAAGTAGTGAAGCCATTCTCAGGGATTGAAACCATTCTTGAGGCTACATTGCCAACTCCATACCTTGCATGTTCTCTGCCCAGAAGACCAAAGGAAGACCCCTTATTCTGCCCTTATTTGGAAGCCCAAAGCATGTCTGATGGCTTCTGTGCAGGGACCAAATAAGACCACCCACACCCCCACCCCACACACACACACACACACACCCCTATGAAGAAAGGCCAAAGGCGCCACTGAACATAACTAACATGGAGTCAGGGTGGGAACATGCTGAAACCGCCTTTTGGGAATCAATAATTGGGCTCTGGGCATGCAAAGGGTCACGAGGGAAACCAGAAAGTACAAAAACACAAAGCAAAACGCTGCCATTTTTCATTTTTGGTGTTGGAGTCCCCTCCCTCTTTTAACAACCTAACTAAGGTCCATGAAAGCCACCTTTCGCGCATTTCCAGACATTCTCCGAGGATCGGCCGTGCATCCAGCGCCGCATCACTCTCCTCATCTTTGCTCGCTGTCCGCAGCGCTGTCCGCCATGGGAACCGCAGCGCTTGGCGCGAAACAAAACAAGCATGGCCAGGGACGTGCCCAGGCCTGAACCGGACCCGAGGGCAAAGGACGTCTCTGTTTCTTGTTTGCCTGAGTCAACCCAAAGAAACAGGGAGTTCAAGGGCCCTGCACAAATGGGGCCCCAAGACACATTTCAATGACATGCGTCTAGTGTCAGGAGGCGCTGGCTGAGGTATTGCTGGAGCTGGGCTGCGTTATGCATGAGCATGAACCGACCTTGGGGTGTGTTTTTCCTAGAGCTGGGGCTTCAACGATGAGTTGGTAGCGAGCTGAACGTCTTGTGCTGCGAACAGCTTCAAGTTCTGTCAAAATATCAACGCTGCGTACAGGGGAAAAGAACAACAGCAAATCCATGCAGCTGGCAGGCCCATTGTTTGTTCACAATGGCACAGCACTGGTTGCACTTGGAACATGCAGGAGTTTTGCCCTTTCAGCTTCTTCGCGTACTTTGCTGGGCATGGCATGGCCAAGCAAAGTTGCAAACCAGCCCGGAAGTGGAGCCAGGACAGGGTGCGCTGGTGAGCAGTTGCGACCAGTGACCCAAACCGTAGAAAACAACCAACCAGTTATTTTTTGGGTTCATTCCATTCTCTGTTGGAAACCACAAGACTGACAGTCGGCAGGCGTGTTCCTCAAAAGTGGCTCACACAATTGCATGATTGGTGTGAAAAGGGTCAAACTTGTCTTTGTACGTTTAAACTAAGGGATCCCTAAGTCAAGGACCCCCATCATGGTAAGCATGCTTTTTTTCCAGTTGAGCCCGCCATAAAAGCCCATCACGTGCACCCATCACATTGCAATCGTATTGCTGGCTCCGATCCCATGCGCGCCTGTTATCTAGGGTTCAGACCCATGGGTCTGTCTTTGTCGGGGCCCCCACAAAAAAAAACAAAACATAAATAAGCTGAGGCGATTTCCTCAACAGATTGCCTCGCGCTTCCTCCTCCCGCAAATGCAAAGCTCGTTGATGCACCGCTGGCTTTCCTTTGGACGCCGCCTTGGCCGTAAGGCACAGCTGGGCCACGCCAAGCAGTCAGAAATTATGTGTCTATTCCACAGTGGGCTGGTAGTCGAACACCATGGTTTCGCTTGTGTCTTTGCCACGGGGGTGGCGGAGACAGGCGGCTCCTTTCCAGACATCGGCACAGACAGGCGACCATTGCTCTTTTGGGCATCGCAGTTCGCTTCTGTCTTTGCCACTCAAGTGGCGGAGACCTGCGGCTGTGGCTCTGTCGGAATCATGGCTCGCGTCTGTCTTTGCCACGCGTGTTGGTTGTCAGACAAGATGGTGTTGCCTCTGTCTTTGCCACGGACGTGGCAGAGACAGGTGGCCGCGGCTTCGGCGGAATTTGTCGGACCTTGTGGTTACGCTGAGGAACCTTTGAGGGACCCTGCACAACCTTACCTCAGAGCCAGAACCTTGCCTCAGAGTCGCCCAACCACGAATCTCGGTTCGAAAACCAAAATAGCAAAGCGATTTCCATTTTTGGCTTCCCTTGGTTAAACCACAAACCCTGAAATTCGAGCATCAACTCAAAGAGAAGCCGACACAGGCCCCAGAAACATCGGCGGCCGGCGCTCTTTCCGTGAGCAGCTGCGCTAGGAGCTCCCGGCCGCTCTGCGCGTGGCCCAGGAAGGCGCTCTGCAGTGCGCACAGCGCCTCGAGAGCTCGGATGTGGTGAGGTGAGGCCCAGGTCCCGGGGACCCTCACGAATTCGAGGTTCAGATCCCCCACCAACCAGGGGTCCCTAAATTTCCCCACCAAAAGCTGATCAATTTTCTGGTGGGTCCCATTGCGATCGGATTCCACTTTTGGAGGCCCAAGCAAGGGGGAATGGAGGAAAACCTGCTTTGGCCTTCCGTTTGCTTTCTTGCTGGTGCGATAGGCAGGGAATGCGAAATTGGAATGATCCCTATATAAAACCATCCAACTGGTGGCTTCCTTTCAGGGAATCCCAAAGCGGTTCATTTCCTGCTGGGCACCAGCAAGTTTTTCCGCCGCCTGGAAAAGATTGAAGCTCCAACAGGGGAAGAGCTCTTCATTTGCCTCTTTCCGTTCTTTGGACCAAATGAGCAACTGTTTCGAGTCCTTTGAAAACTATCAGGGGCAAAGAAAATATATTCTGAAGGATCCAAGGCGGCCAGGTTCTCAGAAGCTGAGGGAATTTCAAATTAGGTCCAGTGTCTCTCCTAGTTCCAGCACTGGCAAGCAACCCACAAATCTGTGCTTCGCTTTGCGCAAGCCAGCAAACATTGGTCACCCTGTGTTGGCCAATCTCCAGGGGAAGTTCACGAAACATTTTTTTCTGCTGAGACCCTAGTGGTGGGGCAAGCAGTCACTTCAAAGAGTTGTCTTCAGTGGCATCTAAGATGTGCAGCCGTGGTTTCTTCATACTTCTTTTGCACGCTTCACCACGCCCAAAAACGGTCAGATGCACATAGCAACACGTTAGCACTGAAATTGCGTGAAATGGAATGAATCTCCCATGTCCCAAACCCAAGATTCACCCAAACTACAGCGTTGTCTTCACTCGCTTCGGCTTTGGTCTTTGTTCGTGGGATCCTCCGCCCCTCCTTGTGGGAGATAACCAGGCCATCACGGGCAAGTTAGGGGGTGGCCCCCCCAGGCTCGCCCAAGCCCACCCTCTCCGTGTCTCTGACTCAGCCCCTTGCCCCGAAGTGATCGTCGATTCCCCGCAGGCCCGCAGCGAATCGCCGGCGCGCTTCGAAGTTGCGCCAGGGCGGTGCTGTGAAGCAGCACAGCAGCACCATACCTCGTTCGGGAGTCCCTTCACTTAATGCAGGCAAGGAAACCGGCTACTTGAAAACCAACCGACCTTGTAAACTGCGAAAACCTGAAGGGTTGCAAACTGTTGCCCCTACATTACATGGGAATGAAATTGTGCTCGATTCCCTTTGGTGAATATCATGTGGGTACGGAATCATACCCACGAACCGACACCAACCAGTCTGTCAAGTGGTGCCCTGTAAACAGATCATAGCCACTGTGCTGACTCCTGACTTAGACCAGCTACATCCAACCCTGACGTGGCACAACAAAATTCCTTCAGCACAGCATCGCCCATGTGCTCAGCTGGATGCCCTAGCAAATGCAAGCCAACAGACTACATCCAACCTGAACCACCCCCACGCAAACAGAAAAGCATTTCTGGATTTCTTAGCCCTATTGGCGAAATACAGCCTGAAGGGACCCTTAACAGTTCCCATTCCAAATTTGGAAATGAATAAATTCTATCAGGGAACGCCATAAACAGGGAACCCCCTCAAGAAGGTTGGCGGACATCAATGCCCATCTATGCCCATCTCACTTCCTGAGTGGATAGCCGAGAAAGAGTCAAAAACTTGCAGCTTTCCAAGAAGCTTAAGGTTGAGCTCAGGAAGTGAGCCATGAGACTAATGCCCACCGCACGGCCCCAAGTCTTGCCGATTCATTGCGACACGAGGCCGGGGTCGAACCACCTGCGTCCATCTCCGCCAGGGCGCAGCTCGGCTGGTCGTCGCCCTCCGCGGGCTGCCATAACGCCTGCCGTGCGGCGCATTGGGCTTCCCATACGGCGGATGGTTGCAAAATTGGCACTATGGTTGAAACCAATACGTTTCCTGGTATTTGCGTGGGGGTTTGGCAGTACCACCTAAGAATCCTCGGACACCATGCTTCAAACAAGTACGTTTGTTGGATTTTCTTACGTTGAGAAATCATTCGAGGGTTCCTGAACGGTGGTGTGAAATGGATTATGCAACCATCTGCAGCATTTCCATCCCGAATAAATCACAAAAAGGACATGTTAAAACTGGCACGGTCGGCGATGCTTGTGAATTGAGAGTGCAAAAAGGAGGCATATAGGGAAGCCTGGTAAAAAGGCACAGGGAGGAAAGCATGGACCGACCATTGACTGCCCTTTTGTCCAGACGTGTTTCAAACAGCCAGGAACATGTTATCAGGGTCATTAAGCTGGCCTGTTCGATTCAACACGGGCCACACACAGGCCCCTGAAGGATTGTATAGCAAGTGTGCTGGAGCCGTTGGAACATGCATAGTAATGTCCAAATGGGATTAAAAAATGCACGCGTAATAAAGACAAATCGGGGGCCCAAAAAGATTAATAAATGCACCTGGATTAAAGACAAGCACCCGCCACCCGCGCAAAAATCAAATCCCCCTCCAAAAAAAAAAAGAAAAGAAAGAGAGAGAAAGGAGAGGAGACATAGCCAAGCCAACACATGGTCCTTGGATCTTTGGTACCTTGTTCCTCAAATCCAAAACTGTCAGCTCTACCAAACCCATGTTGTCTTACATGTCTCTTGTTTAAAACCTGCCCACACTCAATCCCACAAAGGGGGTAGTACTTCAGCCCCCAACTTGACACTATTTCAGGGGCCCCCGAAATAAAGTCTTGTTGCCTGGCCCCCCCGAGAAAAACAAAAGGAAGCTCCAGCAATACTAAATCAAATGGAAACTAAAGTCTACCAAAACTAAATCAAACAGAAACTTAGTTGCAAATCTCAAAAGGAAGCTCCAGCAATACTAAATCAAATGGAAACTCAAGTCTACCAATACTAAATCAAATGGAAACTCAGTTTCAAATCTCAAAAGGAAGCTCCAGCAATACTAAATCAAATGGAAACTCAGTTCCAAATCTCAAAAAAGGAAGCTCCAGCAATACTAAATCAAATGGAAACTCAAGTCTACCAATACTAAATCAAATGGAAGCTCACTTCACCTAGATCTCAAGATACTATTTTAGACACCCCCGTCGTTGAGGGGGGGGGCTATGGCTCCGCACAAAGTACTGGAGTTGGGGATCGCGCGTTTGCCACACACAAAAATAAACCAATTGCCAAGCATTGATGGCGCAGTTCCGTCTATGTGGGTAAAGAAAAGGGGATGATTGCACCGACATGAGAGAATCATGCCATCTAATGTTGACCCCATATTAATCAACCCCTGCTTATTCATATGGGTGCGTAGATGGAACCACCCCGGATGTAAGTAGAACCCCTGCTTTTTACGTTCCATTTGCTGAAATGATGTTTATTTGTGCATTTTCCCCCAAAGTTGGATTTGAAGGGAATCAATCTCACTACTGGACATAACAGTTTCTCATTATTCTTCCAGGAAAAAGCAAATAGAGGTTTATACCTTGGTTGCTGTTGACCCCCCTGCAAAAGCTTAACTTGTTGTGGGTTTAATGGAACACCCTTGATTTCCCAAACAGTCATAAAGTCTAAAGATCCAACCCAATTGTAGAGATCTGGGGGGTGCCAACATCCGGCCGCCGCCTGCAGCAGCTCCGGCACCAGCGGCCACGCTTCAGCCGCTTCCGAAGCCTCCAAGAGCTGCGCGCACGTCCGGAAGAGCCGCGGAGGTTGGGGGCCGCGATGGGAAGAAGTCCGCTTCGCACCAGGTGGGAGGTGGTCTGAGCTCAGTATTTTTTGGTGGTTTCATTCTTTGACTCAGTATTCATGGGGCTTCCCGCATCTCAACTGGTGCAGGAATTCGTCCATCCAGAGTCTGGTCTGGCTATGTGAAGGCATTGAATAGACATCAGCACAGCTAAACGCGAACTTCAAAGAGAGTTGACATACGCAGTTGGGCATCAGGGACTCTGACTCCCGCTCACCCGGAGGCTCACCCCCGCAACCCTTCACCTCAGGTTGCAACGCTTCGGCATTGACATGTGGTTCAAACGCACGGCTTGCAGCTACAAACTGGCATCTATAACTGGACGCTGAGTGTATAAATGCACTTGCTGGTGCTCAGTAGGGAACCGAGTCCGGGGTTTGGGCATGAAGCTCGGGATTCCCTTAAAAGCAAACACGGGAAACTGTTTGCTCTCCTTACCTGCTGGGAACCAGCAAGAAAATTACCAACCCTTCTAGTCGTAGCTCATGCGGTTCAAACGTAGCCTTTCAACCTAGGCGGCATGTCTTGGGTTGCACGGCCCGTTTCGATCCGAAGCCCCGCCTCGAGCTGCAGTTCGATGGTGCCCTCAGGCCTGTCAATTTCCGCTCCGAGTGACCCGTGCCACGGCGGTCAAGCCTACTCATGGGCTGTAGGGGCCGATCAGCTTCCCGCAAACAAAAGGCAAAACCAAGGAAGAACGACCCAAGCCAAATACCTTGGCAAACTTGCGCAGTCCTCACATGCCAGTAGGAATTTTCTTGGTGATTCCATTCTCAAAGATTTCCACCCGCAAACCCGAGACCAAACCCAAAAGAAGTGTGACAATCGAGCCAGGTTGGGGGCCTTCCGTTTTTCTGATCTTCCCACCAGAAAAAAAACTTGATTGCCAGAAAAAAGAAAAGAAAACAAATCCAGGCCTCGAATTCCCCCTCCCCAATTCCAGGTTTGAGTTTGAGGGCTTGGGGATGCCATTCACCGTGCAGCGATTTTCGCCCCCGACTTGGACAGCTGTCGCGGTCGACTTGGACCAGTGAGTTCAAAGTGCCAAAGAGGGCCCCACTCCGAGGGACATGAATGAACTGCTCAACCCACCAGCCGCAAGAAATAAAACTCGAGCGCATAGGGGGCTCTTGCTGCACGTGCAATACCGGAGGATCTAGCACGCCTTTGTCCCATGGTCCAGTCGATCACACAAGGGTATCTGAAGTGGGGCAGACGGCCAAATAGAGCAGGATTCGGACAACATTCGGACAACTATTCTAGGGGTTGATTCCCCATTCTTTTCAACCATCCTTCCTTTCAAAAACCAGATCCGTTTCCCCTGGGTATTTGATGGATTCCTGAAAAGATTCGGATCCCTGGCTCGCCTGTAAGGCAGCACGGGGTCGTCCGAGAGGAGCTGCACCTCAGCTCTTGGCGGGCACACCGGGTCCCGTGATGTCCTTCGAGTGCATGAAGGCTCGTTGCTTTCTGCTCCCCTGTCAAGTTTAACTTTTAGTGGTTTAATGGAAAATCCAATTGTTGGCAAAAGTGAAAGTCCTAACATCCAGGCAAAATGCACCAAAGAAGAAAAACAATGTTGTTTATTGCTGGCCCCAAATGAATCAAGCAACCAGGTCATTTTCATATGGGAGTGGGGGGCCCCCTCCAATAGTGTGCTGATCACCACAAAACTCGGGGACACCCCCGCATTCATAAACTAAGGTTGACAAATAGGGGGTCAACATTATGGGTTCCACTGCACCCGAGTTCTCACGCGACGCTGAAAGCTACCTTTGCATTCGGAATTCGTGCGGCTTCCCCGACCAAGGCAGTTCATGCCAAATGCGGATCCATCGAATGGACCAATCCAAGCAATCGCCCTAAAACGAAACCAGTCCAAGCACAGAAAGGACAACCCAAAAGATAACCACCATTAACCACCATTTCGTTGAAGGGTGTGGCTTTTTTTGAGAGTGCCTCTTTTCGCGTATTCAACTGAAAACAAAAGAAATCAACTTTTGGTTGTAAGGGGGGGGGTTTTAAAGGGGTCAAAATTAAACCACCAGGCGACCGCAGGTTTTAGTCCCTGGCTCCAGACCCACCAGGGCTCCATGTTCGGTACCTATGTTTGACCCGCAGCCACATATTGTTGTCCCAAGTCCTGTAGCGCTTTCAGCTTGCCCGCTTGCCTGAGGCCCCGGGCCGTGCAGGCCTTCTTCAGCGTGGCCTTTGGACTGGCCCGGTCCATGAGCTGCCGCAGCTCCTGCGGTAGGGTCGAGGCCAAAGGGGGTATGGGTATGGGGGAACACATCGGACATCTGTGGGAATATATAGCTGTGGGTCAAAACTGGGTACCCAAAATAGAACCCTGGCAAATGGACATCTGTGAACATGTATGCAAACAAATGTGGCAATTACATGGGGAATGAAACAGGCACGGGATGTTGGGGAATGTCCACTGCTATTGACACAGTTCATTGGAATATGGGGAATATGGGGGAATTACATGCTGGGCTGCCCGTTTTCAGATCTCTCGCTAAAAGCGACTAACTTTTAGTGGGTTAAAGGAAACTACCACTACACGCTCAAAGGCTAAAAAGCTAAGGAACCGGATGGCTGGGAGCCACCAAGCATGGACATCTGTGGGAATATATGGACACAAATGGGAATCATCGCGAAACTACGGGAATGTTGGGGAATCTGTGGGTCACAGGTGGTAACCCTCCGGTCAACTGTTTTCTTTGATTTTTTTCTCCTGGGAATATACGCGGAATTCAAATACGAGAATAACTAGGAATAGATATGTGATCGTGCGTGGGAACACATGGACATAAGTAAAATATGGGCCATAGCGCACGGTGGGAAACTGTGGGACGCAATGCAAACATATGGGAATGTGTGGAGAGCTGCGCCCCATAGAAGAAACCGCGATTTGGAACGGAGTCATCAATATCGTGCGGGCATGTCTTAAACAAGGTTGCTTGGTTTCCATTTCAAACCGCGCTGGCAAAAGGATACCCTCAAAAAAGCTCAGCAGCTGCGTCAGAAAATCACATGCGGTAAGCAGCACCATTTTCACTGCCAATGCGCATGGTGCGCTTGCCTCCTCCCTCCTTCCTCAGCCCTTCTTGCTCCTTCTTTTGTTGTCAATCTTGCCCTTCGCTGCAGCGCCTTCTCCGGCTTGGCTCTCCTTCCGCTGCTTCTTGAGCCATGCCACTGCCGTGGCGAAGGCCTTCTCCAGCTCCAGCTCTGAGTGGTCCAGGGGCTTGAAAGTGCGTTGCTTTCGGTTCCTTCCGCCGGTGTCTGCCTGCCAGCATTGACTTCGCGTGTGCCAACCGACGCCCGGGAACGCCACCTTGGGCTGGAACGCCGGCAGCTCCGCCCGGGCAGCGCAGCGCTTCACGGTGCGCTGCAGCCCGTGGAGCTCCCGCAGCTCAGTGGCGCGGGCCTCCGCCTCGGCCTTCTCCGTGAAGTAGCCCCCCTGGATTCTCCCTCCGCCGGGCTTGGGGATCACTACCCGCCACTTCTTATTTGCCTTTTCAAATTTCACCCCGGGCACGTCGGAGGTGAGGCTCTCGTCCCGGAGCTTCTCCTTGATGCGGCCCTGGGCCACCAGCTGCGCGCGGAAGGCCTTGGCGGCCTCCAGGGCGGCGGCCTCAGCCTCCACCTCATTCAGGCCCTGCTTCATGAAGCTGCTGGTGGTAAAATTTTTGATATGTCGTGCGCTGGCTCCCTTTTTGTCTTTTTCAGTCCATCGGAGCTGCCAACAAAAACAGCGACTTTGCCAGCTGATGCCAGGAACACCACTCTGCTTCTCCTGCTGCTTGGAAAGCACCTTCGCAGGCTTCACGGCATTTCCTGAAACATTTACCCTTGCATCCCCGACTGCCGTTGCAGCAGCTGACTGTGCGGCGGTTGGCGGCTGAGCAGCCGGCTGCCCAGCAGCTCCAACAGACTCCCAGACTTGGACGTCTTGCATGGCTTCTGCGCCGCCTGCGCAGGACAAGCGCCGCAAGCCGCGCTGCTCATCGTAGGCCAAGCCGCGACCAGCCCAGATGCTGCTGGGCAGGTCACGCATCCACGGCCACATCTTCATGCATGCCGCGCCGCTGGCCGGGAAGCTAGCATCTTCTTGCGTGGCGGCTGCTGCAGCACCTCGCCAAGTCAACGGTGACAAAGTAGCTTCCCAAACAAACAAGCACATGCAATTGAATGGATGCTTGCAGCACACAAAACTCCAAAAACGCCTTTTGGTTTCACATTGGCAGCTGTTTAATCGCTTTCCAAAGGAAGGGACCCATTGTTGTGGGCAAACCGGCGCTGATCAGGCCGCCCCATCTGAGATTCCAACGTGCTGAAGGGTTCGTCATCGGATCAGCCGCTGGCAGTGGTGCAGCAAAGATGGGATGCCCACGCTCAAAGAAGCGCCGCAGGCAGCACAGCTCCTTCTGAGACAAGCGCTGCACGCAGGGCGGGTCCTTCTCTTCCGGCACGATGGAGGAGCTGAAGAAGAGGCTTGCCGGGCAGCAGGGCCTCCCAACAGACATGGCGTGCCGACACTGTGGATTTAAAATTCCTTGCTATATACCTTGGGCCCTGGAGACATGCAACACGCTCCAAACAAACAACTATTTTGCTGCAAATGACCCAAAACAACGAAATTTATCGACGGGTGTAATGCAAACAACCGTGCAGTGGACGCTAGCCTTAACACACACACACACAAACACGGCTGCTTCTTGGTCAGCAGCACCGGCCTTGAGGGCATCCAAGTTGACTTCCTGCGGAACTCCGCGCACTGCCGGGCCCACGCCGTCATCTGGTCCTCAAGATCCGGCAGCTTGTTGCCAGCCAGGCTGTGCCCAGAACGGCCAGTCCTTACTTGCCCAGCGGGCTCCCAAACAACACAGCGGCCGCCCTTTTGTTGTGGGCGGATGTTCAAGTTGGCGGATGTTCAAGTTGGCGATCCCACCCAAACAGTGCAAACAGACAGAAAGTAAAACCTGCCACAAGCCAAGCGGGAATCTCTTCCAAAGACACTGGCTCTGCTTTCCCCACGGCAGCCTTTCCGTCTGATTGCCCCTTCTCCACCTTGACTTTCGGCTGGCGCTTGATGCTTGTGCCGTCTTCCCCGGCTGCGGCGGTCGAAAAGGAAGACTCGATTTTCACCTGATCCGGCGAGTAATTATGAGCCGTGCCGACGGATGCGCATGGGCAACATGGAGAACAGTTGGCAAGTTGCCATTCACACAAAACTGACTCAGCTGTTATGTTGCAATGGTTGTGCGTTTAACCAAGCCGAACAACAGCCAATGAAGTTTTCTCAAATGTGTTCACTGCACATCGTCCCGTGTATTTCTCCAGGCCTCCATCATGTTTATTAAAAAATGATTATTAGGGGACCCCTGGAATAGCAACGGGTTCCTCTTTGTTTCCCGGTGAATCGAATCACCAGGTTCTTTTCCCAAAGAAAAAAATCGAACCGTGCCCATGTTGTCCTGCCTTGGACTCTGTTGGCTCCGTCTTGACCCATCCGCCCGGGTCGCCCCCCATAGCTTCGATTTCCTGATGCCAGAAGGGGGTTGCCATGACGAAACGCAAGCATTGGCGGGGGATCGGGGAAACATCAGCACGACCCAATGGAAACGCTCGGAAAACAAAGCAAGCAAACAAGGGAAGCACAGGGTGGGCAGCAAGTCGTGGAAAACAAGCTGGGTAAACCACAAGCTTTGCTCAGCTGAGCTTCTTCCTTCACCTCCATCTTGACCTGCAACCAAAGGTTGTGCAAGTCAAGACCCTCCTGGCTCTCCTCTTTCTTGCAAATGTTGCCCATGCTTTGACTCACCTGCATGTCATGGCGCCGAAGGCGCCGACGCTTTACAGGTTGCGAGCACGCAGACTCCTGCAGAGTTCCATGTGTTTCCAATCAATCACCACCCAACCAGAAGGAAACATCCTTTGCAAGGCATTCAAAGGTGGTGTTTGAAAACAGGCCCGGAGAACTCGCTTCAACTTGCAATCCACCAAGTGACAAGGGGGACATCCAGTTGGAAGCCCTCAACTTTGATGCCGGGTGTGCGCCCAGCCTCGATTGCATGCTCCTTTTTGATCTGCACGTTCATGCCTCAGGGTCTCTTTGCCGCAGCCTTTTGCTAGAAACTTTGGGAGGGCCTGGTAGGGTAGCACGAGCTTCAGCGAAACCTTTGGTTGGGACAAGTTTGGGAGAGTTTTGATTGGGTTCCATATCTTCTGTTGGAGCCCGACAACGCAAGTCTAAAGGTTCCGCCCAAAGGGATCCTCCGAAAGGAGTCCTACAAAGCATCCATCAATTGCTCATTTGTCAAGTTCCTGCACAGGGCCATACATTTGCTAAACAAACTCACCTTGGGACCTGCGTGCAACGTCTCCACCGTGCCTTGCGAATAGGTAGGCAACCGCGTTCCGATCGTGGCAAAGCTCCGGCGAACGGAGCCGAAAATGCTTCGGAAGCAATGCAGCTGCTCAACTTGCCCTGTTGACGTGACTGCCCGGAAAAAGCTCAACATGTTGCAGATGTTCTCACCTCAAGTGGGCTACAGTAGCATGTCTGGTGTATTTCTTTTTTACGTTGAACGCGTGGTTCTGGAGTGTTTCCCTCCTCATCGGCTCACAATGAGTTTGAAGGGTTCTAGAACTCAAAGCGCTTCTTCCCAAGTATCCACCCCAAAAGTGCGCTAACAAAAACATGTCCTCAGGACCCTCACCCTGAGTCAAAGTGTATATAGTGTGGTCCAATTTGCACACATGTTGTATTGGTGATTCATGGCTCCCGGTCTCGAGCTCTTCACTCCTTGACGCGGTACTCCGTCTCGCGCTGGACCGCTGGAAGCGGCACTTTGAAGCGCCGGGTCGCCGTGACGAGGTCCTCGAAGGCCACTCCAGCCGTCAGGCGTTGGGTAAAATGGGACCAACAACCAAAGTACCAGCAGAAGTAAAATGGATAAGAATGAGAACAACCCATCTGCGTTGTTCCGAAAGGGTCGGATCCCGAGTGCGTAATCCGCAGTGAGACTCCGCAACAACAAGGGAAACCACTAGTCTTTGGCAAAAGTGTTACCTTCATTTGCTTAAATTTGTTGACAAAAGGCAGATTTAGATTCAACAGGGGAACAAGCCAGCTAGTGGGCTCAGCCACAGAAAGAAGCAGCAGCCTGAGTTGCCTAGCGCCCACAAACGACTTTCGCATCCTAGGTCTGGGTCCATCTTAGTACGCCGAACCTGCCAAACAAACAGGGATATAGAGGGTGGCATAAGCAACTGGTCTAGCCATAATCCCTGCTAAAGCGCCCTACGTCCCCAGAAAAGCACACAAGCACACAAGCAGAACAAGTCAGCTCGAAGCACCCTACCCCAAGTTCAACAAACACAGTACTAGTAGAAAAACAAACACGACAAAAACATACGCCCAAACTTCTGCTGAAACACCCTGCGTGCTCGCAATGACTGGGTTCGCGTGGCAGGGTGCAACATTGGTCCCAATATCTTGCGCCCCTTCCACTTTCTCTGGATAAGGCGAAGTAACTCCGTGCTTCAGCACTCGGACTAAAGTTGCCACATTGCCACAAGAGAGGTAGATCTGAATCTTACTTCCGGAGTGGATGGCCCAAAGAAAGTGGACACTCTTTATTTGTCACTGAAATGGTCTTCCCAAAAGGTATGAAGTTCAGGAACTCGGGAAGTGAGGAATGCGAATAGGTGTCCTTTTAGGGAATAGACGGGCCTGGTAGATGATTAAGCCACCAGGTAAGCCAGGGCCATCTATTCTTCTAGCAAAACAACCAAAAAGGACATGCCCTTTTGGTTACGGCAGCCCCAGGCGGCTGATTCCTCAGCTTGGCCCAAGCTCTTCTTGCGGCCCGGTTGGAAGCCTGTGGATTTCTATGGGGGAAAAGGCACCCATGTTCAAGGGAACCCCACCAAACACATGGAAATGGAAAACGCCTTCGGCAAGCAGTTCGTTGCAACCGGTCAGCCCTCCGGCAGAAAGAAAGTTGAACCCTTTATAGGCTGGCTAACCATTTTTAGTGGGAAACCTACCGCGCAGAAAGGGCAAAGGGGCCACTGAACATAACTAACATGGAGTCAGGGTGGGAGCTCAGGAGCATCAATCATTTGGCTCTGGGCATGCAAAGGGTCACCTGCCTAGCCCCGCCCTTTTTAGAACCCCCCCCTTTCGCGCATTTCCCGACATCATCAGAGGGTCGGCCGTGCATCCGGCGCCTCATCATTATCACTGTGAGCAGCGCTGTCCGCCATGGGAACCGCAGCGCTTGGCGCGAAACAAACAAGCAGGGCCAGGGTCGTTCCTAGGCCTAAACCGGACCCGAGGAAAGATATGTCTTTTTCGTCCTGTTTGCCTGAGTCACCCAACAAAGAGACAGGGAGTTCAAGGGCCCACCTGGACAATCGGGCCCCCTGAAGGACAAGGTGTCAGGCGGCTGGGTGATACTGGAGCTGCGATGTGTCGTGCATCAACGGTGAGTTAATAGTGAGCTGAGCGTCTTGTGCTGCGTGCGAAGCAGCTTTTCAAGTTTCTGTCAAACATCAACCATGCGTGCAGGGAAAGAAAAAACAGCTCTTCCATGCAGCTGGCACGACTAATGTTCACAATGGCTGAAAGATGCACAGCACTAGTTGCACTTTGGAACATGCAACAGTCTTGCCCTTTCAGCTTCTTGGCGTACTTTGCTGGGCATGGCAAAGCTAAGGGGCAAATCAGCCCGGAAGTGGAGCCAGGACAGGCGCTTGTGAGCAGTTGTGACCAGTGACCCAAAGCGTGGAAACAACCAGTTCTTTTTTGGGTTCATTCTATTCTCTGCTGGAAACCACAGAACAACAGGAGGCAAAAAGGGGCAGCGACCATTGCTCTTGCGGGCATCGCGATTCGCTCCTGTCTTTGCCACTCAAGTGGCAGCGACATGCGGCTGTGGCTCTGATTGAAATCATGGCTCACGTCTGTCTTTGCCACGGAGGTGGCAGAGACAGGCGGCTGTGGCTTCGTCGGAGTTTGTCGGGCCTTGTGGTTCGTCTTTGCCACAGCCCTCGCGGAACCTCACGGAACCCTGAGGAACCCTTGCGGGGCCCCGCAGAACCTTAATCCAGAGCCCCCCAACCACGAACCCTGCGGAACCCTTGCGGGGAACCTGACCTCAGAGTCGGACCCCCAGCAAAACCAAAGTATTCAGCTGTTCCAAAATTAGCAGTAAAAAAGTGGCTTTCATTTTTTGGTGTCCCTTTTATTAAATATTTTGCGGGTTGGATTCCCTGTATATGCCATTAACCCTCATATTCCGGTATCAACCCCGACAAAAACCGACAACAGCCCCACAAAAAGAATCGGCGGCCGCAGGCGGGCTCTTTCCGCGAGCAGCTGCGCCAGGAGCTCCCGGCCGCTCTGCGCGTGGCCCAGGAAGGCGCTCTGCAGCGCGCACAGCGCCTCGGGAGCGCCGGGAGCGCCGGGAGCGCGGAGTGGGATCGGGGATGTCCCCCTCCAAAACTCGGCGGCTTTCTGCGAAGCCCTGCTAAAAGTTTGGCTTTTGGTGGTTTAACACGGAAAACCTGTTAGTTGGCAAAAGGTTAGTCCCAACATCCAAGCAACATGCACCAAAGAAAAGTTGATCTATTTGCTGGTGGGTTCCATTGAAACGATTGGATTCCACCATTGGAGGTCCAAGCAAGGCGGGATGGAGGAAATCCTGCTTTGACCTTCCGTTTGCTTTCTTGCTGGTGCGATAGGCAGGCGATGCGAAATTGGAATGATCCCTACATAAACCATCCAACTGGTGGCTTCCTTTAAGGGAATCCCAAAGCGGTTCATTTCCTGCTGAGCACCAGCAAGTTTTTCCGCCGCCTGGAAAAGATTGAAGCTCCATCAGGGGAAAAGTGCTTCATTTGCCTCTTTCCGTTTTTTGGACCAAATGAGCAACTATTTCGATTCCTTTAAAAACTATCAGGGGCAAATACAATATATTCTGAAGAAGGATCCAAGGGCGCCCCGGTTCTCAGAAGCTCAGGGAATTTCGAATTAGGTCCAGTGTCCCTCCTAGTTCCAGCACTGGCAAACAACCCACAAATCTAAGCCTGTGCTTCGCTTTGCGCAAGCCAGCAAACATTGGTCACCCTGTGTTGGCCAATCTCCAGGGTAAGTTCACCAAACATTTGTTTTCTTCTGATGAGACCCTAGTGGTGGGGCAAGCAGTCACTTCAAAGAGTTGTCTTCAGTGGCATCTAAGATGTGCAGCCGTGGCTTCATGATACTTCTTTTGCACACTTCACCACGCCCAAAAAAGGTCAGATACACATAGCAACACGTTAGCACTGAAATTGCGTGAAACCGAATGAATCTCCCATGTCCCAAACCCAATATTCACCCAAACTACAGCGTTTTCTTCACTCGCTTCGGCTTTGGGGTCCCCATCTCTTTGTTCGTGGGATCCTCCGCCCCTCCTTGTGGGACATAACGCCAGGCCATCACGGGCAAGTTAGGGGGTGGCCCCCCCGGGCTCGCCCAAGCCCACCCCCTCCGTGTCTCTGACTCAGCCCCTTGCCCCGAAGTGATCGTCGATTCCCCGCAGGCCCGCAGCGAATCGCCGGCACGCGTCGAAGTTGCGCCAGGGCGGTGCTGTGAAGCAGCACAGCAGCACCATACCTCGTCGGGAGTCCCTTCACTTAATGCAGGCAAGGAAACCGTGAAACCGGCTACCTGAAAACCAAACGACCTTGTAAACTGCGAAAACCTGAAGGGTTGCTAACTGTTGCCCCTACATTACATGGGAATGAAATTGTGCTCGATTCCCTTTGGTGAATATCATGTGGGTACGGAATCATACCCACGAACCGACACCAACCAGTCTGTCAAGTGGTGCCCTGTAAACAGATCATTGCCACTGCGCTGACTCCTGAAGAAGACCAGCTACATCCAACCCTGACGCAACAAAATCACTTCAGCACAGCAGCGCCCATGTGCTCTGCTGGATGCCCTAACAAATGCAAGCCAACAGACTACATCCAACCTGAACCACCCCCACACAAACAGAAAAGCATTTCGGGATTTCTTAGCCCTATCGGCGAAATACAGCCTTAAGGGACCCTTAACAGTTCCCATTCCAAATTTGGGAATGAATTCTATCAGGGAACGCCCTGAACAGGGAACCCTCTTGAGGGTTGGTGGACATCAATGCTCATCCATGCCCATCTCACTTCCCGAGTGGATCGCCCAGAAAAAAGTCACAAACTTGCTCCTAGTTTTCCAAAAAAAGCTTCAGGTTGAGCTCAGGAAGTGAGCCATGAAACTGATGCCCACCGCAGGGTCCCATGCATCCATCTCCGCTAGGGCGCAGCTCGGCTGGTCTTCGCCCTCCGGAGGCTGCCACAACGCCTGCCGTGCGCCCGCCGTCCCTGGGCTTCCCATACGGCGGATGGTTGCGAAATCGATTTGGCACTATGGTTGAAACCAATACGTTTCCTGGTATTTGCGTTGGGAGTTTGGCAGTACCACCTAAGAATCCACGGAAACCAGGCTTGAAACAAGTACGCTTGTTGGTATTTACGTTGAGGAATCATTCGCGGGTTCCTGAACGGTGGTGCGAAATGGATTTCGCAACCATCTGCAGCATTTCTATCCCGAATAAATCACCAAAAGGACATGTTAAAACTGGCACGGTCGGCGATGCTTATGAATTGAGAGTGCAAAAAGAAGGCATATAGGGAAGCCTGGTAAAAAGGCACAGAGAGAGAGAGAGAGAGAGAGCATGGACCGACCATTGACTGCCCTTTTGTCAGACGTGTTTGAAACAGCCAGGAACATGTTATCAGGGTCACTAAGCCGGCCTGTTCGATTCAACACGGGCCACACACAGGCCCCTGAAGGATTGTATAGCAAGTATGCTGGAGCCGTTGGAACATGCATAGTAGGGACGTCTTACCCCGGGCTGTGCAATGCGCGTTCCAGCAGAACCCCAAAACGGGCATGTGCCGACTTTCCAAGTAGGGTTGTCTGTTTTCGCAATTACCCTAACAAATGATCAGAAAGAAGTAAAACTGCGAAACATTCCAAGCAGAGTGAGGAACCTCGGCTGATAAGGCAACCTCTCTTTGCCAAGACAAGAGCCTAATGCCTGCGCAAACGAACGCCCCAAAACCCGGCCCAAAGGCCGCGGATATTGGCACATAAGAAGAAGAGCGGAGATATCTTCATGGATTCCCGTACTTCCCGCTTGAACATCCCCACTGAAAGGAAACATCACCCCGCTGAAAGCAACCGCAACAGCAACAAATTTGCGTGGGCGCTCCAGCATGCCCCATTTCGGAGACATCGAGTTTTGGGGGGTTCTGAGCAAGAGAACCGGGTGAACTTCCATGTAACCACAAAGGGAGACCACCGAAATATACCGAAAGAACTTACTGAATGTAGACCCACTGCCTATACCGCAATTAGGTGGTCCTATACTGATTCAGAGCAAGGGGGAGCCATTGCAGCTCAAGGACCAAGGGACATGACCTCTTCATGGCTCCGCTATGGCTCCGCACAAAGTACTGGAGCTGGGGGTCGTGCGTTTGCCACACACAACATCATACACCAATTGCCAAACATGGATGGCGCAGTTCCGTCCAGTCCATGTGTGTAAGCAAAGGGGATGATTACACCGACATGAGAGAATCATGCCATCTAATGTTGCCCCCATATTAATCAACCCCTGCTTATTCATATGGGTGCGTAGATGGAACCACCCCGGATGTAGAACCCCTGCTTTTTACGTTCCATTTGCTGAAATGATGTTTATTTTTGCATTTTCCCCAAAGTTGGAATTGAAGGGAATCGAGTTCACTACTGGACATAATGTTTTCCCATGATTCTTCCAGGAAAAAGCAAATAGAGGTTTATACCTTGGTTGCTGTTGACCCCCCTGCAAAAGTTTAACTTGTTGTGGGTTCAATGGAACACCCTTGATTTCCCAAACAGTCATAAAGTCTAAAGATCCAACCCAATTGTGAGATACGGGGGTGCCAACATCCGGCCGCCGCCTGAAGCAGCTCCGGCACCAGCGGCCACGCTTCAGCCGCTTCCGAAGCCTCCAAGAGCTGCGCGCACGTCCGGAAGAGCCGCGGAGGTTGGGGGCCGTGATGGGAAAAAGTCCGCTTCGCATCAGGTGGGAGGTGGATTATCGGGCTTCATTGTTTATCTCGGTATTTTTTTGGGGGGTTCATTGTTTATCTCAGCCTTTTCTGGGGCTTCATGCATCCCAACTGGTGCATCAGGTGGGAATTCGTCCATCCAGAGTCTGGCTATGTGAAGGCATTGCAGCCAAGGCAAACAATAGACATGTGGCACAGCACACGCAGTTGGGCATCAGGAACTCTACCTCCCGGAGGCTCACCCGGAGGCTCACCCCCGCAACTATTCAGAACTATTCTGACCTTATCAGGCCTTACTTAGAGGAAACGGTTTGGATGTGGTTTTTGTGGTTCTACCCCTGTAGAAGGTTAAAAGAGTACTAAAAGAGTACTAAAAAAGGACGAACAGGGGGAAGAACAGGTGAAATCCACAAAAGGCGCATCAAAACCGTTTCCTAGATCTTCACCTCAGGTTGCATCGCTTCGGCATTTGTGGTTCAATCGCTCGTCTTGCAGCTACAAACTGACATCTACTGGACGCTGAGTGTATAAATACACTTGCTGGTGCTCAGTAGGGAATGGCCGAGTCCGGGGTTTGGGCATGAAGCTCGGGATTTATTAAAAGCAAACACGGGAAACTGTTTGCTCTCCTTACCTGCTGGGAACAGCAAGAAAATTACCAACCCTTCTAGTCGTAGCTCATGCGGTTCGATCCGAGCAAGAAGATTCCCCTCCAATACATATCCGCTGTACCGTCTAGTCGTAGCTCATGCGGTTCAAACGTAGCCTTTCAACCCAGGCGGCATGTCTTGGGTTGCACGGCCCGTTTCGCTCCGAAGCCCCGCCTCGAGCTGCAGTTCGATGGTGCCCTCAGGCCTGTCAATTTCCGCTCCGAGTGACCCGTGCCACGGCGGTCAAGCCTACTCATGGGCTGTAGGGGCCGATCAGCTTCCCGCAAACAAAAGGCAAAACCAATGAAGAACGACCCAAGCCAAATACCTTGGCAAACTTGCGCAGTCCTCACATGCCAGTAGGAATTTTCTTGGTGATTCCATTCTCAAAGATTTCCACCCGCAAACCCGAGACCAAACCCAAAAGAAGTGTGACAATCGAGCCAGGTTGGGGGCCTTCCGTTTTTCTGATCTTCCCACCAGGGAAACTTGATTGCCAGAAAAAAGGGGAAAAAAAAGGATCCAGGCGTCGAATTCCCCCTCCCCAATTCCACGTTTGAGGGCTTGGGGATGCCATTCACCGTGCAGCCCGTCGCCTCCGACTTGGCGCTGATTGTCGCGTGGGTTGAGGGACCAGTAAATTCAAAGGTGTGCCAAAGAGAGCCCCAGTTCGCATGCTGTGCGAGGGACATGTTCAATAAAATACTCAACCCACATCCAGCCGCAAAACAACTCGAGCACATAGGGCTCTTGCTGCATATGCACGTGCAATACCGGAGGAGTATCTAGCACCCAGCCTTTGTCCCATTGTCCAGTCGATCACGCAAGGGTATCTGAATTGGGGCAGCCGGCCAAATAGAACAGGATTCGGACAACATTCGGACAACTATTCTAGGGGTTGATTCCCCATTCTTTTCAACCATCCTTCCAGATCCGTTTCCCCTGGGTATTTGATGGATTCCTGAAAAGATTCGGATCCCTGGCTCGCCTGTAAGGCAGCACGGGGTCATCCGAGAGGAGCTGCACCTCAGCTCTTGACGGGCACACCGGGTCCCGTGATGTCCTTCGAGTGCATGAAGGCTCGTTGCTTTCTGCTCCCCTGTCAAAGTTTAATAGTGGTTTAATGGAAAATCCAATTGTTGGCAAAAGTTAAAGTCCTAACATCCAAGCAAAATGCACCAAAGAAGAAAAACAATGTTGTTTATTGCTGGCCCCAAATGGATCAACCAACCAGTTCATTTTCATATGGGAGTGGGGGGCCCCCTCCAATAGTGTGCTGATCACCACAAAACTCGGGGACACCCCCGCATTCATAAACTAAGGTTGACAAATAGGGGGTCAACATTATGGGTTCCACTGCACCCGAGTTCTCACGCGACGCTGAAAGCTACCTTTGCATTCGGAATTCGTGCGGCTTCCCCGACCAAGGCAGTTCATGCCAAATGCGGATCCATCGAATGGACCAATCCAAGCAATCGCCCTAAAACGAAACCAGTCCAAGCACAGAAAGGACAACCCAAAAGATAACCACCATTAACCACCATTTCTTTGAGGGTGTGGCTTTTTTTTTGAGAGTGCCTCTTTTCGCGTCTTCAACTGAAAACAAAAGAAATCAACTTTTGGTTGTAAGGGGGGGGGGTTTTAAGGGGGTCAAAATTAAACCACCAGGCGACCGCAGGTTTTAGTCCCTGGCTCCATTTACCAGGGCTCCATGTTCGGTACCTATGTTTGACCCGCAGCCACATATTGTTGTCCCAAGTCCTGCAGCGCTTTCAGCTTGCCCGCTTGCCTGAGGCCCCGGGCCGTGCAGGCCTTCTTCAGCGTGGCCTTTGGACTGGCCCGGTCCATGAGCTGCCGCAGCTCCTGCGGTAGGGTCGAGGCCAAAGGGGGTATGGGGGAACACATCGGACATCTGTGGGAATATATAGCTGTGGGTCAAAACTGGGTACCCAAAATAGAACCCTGGCAAATGGACATCTGTGAAAATGTATGCAAACAAATGTGGTGTTTACATGGGGAATGAAACAGGCACGGGATGTTGGGGAATCCCCACTGCTATTGACACAGTTCATTGGAATATGGGGAATATGGGGGAAATACATGCTGGGCTGCCCGTTTTCAGATCTCCCGCTAAAAGCGACTAACTTTTAGTGGGTTAAAGGAAACTACCACTACACGCTCAAAGGCTAAAAAGCTAAGGAACCGGACGGCTGGGAGCCACCAAGCATGGACATCTGTGGGAATATATGGACACAAATGGGAATACATCGCGAAACTACGGGAATGTTGGGGAATCTGTGCGTCACAGGTGGTAACCCTCCGGTCAACCGTTTTCTTTGACTTTTTTCTCCTGGGAATATACGCGGAAGTCGAATACGAGAATAACTAGGAATAGATATGTGATCGTGCGTGGGAATACATGGACATAGGCAAAAATATGGGCCATAGCGCACGGTGGGAAACTGTGGGCAATGCAAACATATGGGAATGTGTGGAGACCTGCGCCCCATAGAAGAAACCGCGATTTGGAACGGAGTCATCAGTATCGTGCGGGCATGTCTTAAACAAGGTTGCTTGGTTTCCATTTCAAACCGCGCTGGCAAAAGGGTACCCTCAAAAAAGCTCAGCAGCTGCGTCAGGAAAAACAAACAGTAAGCACGCCATTTTCACAGCCAATGCGAATGGTACGCTTGCCTCCTTCTCCTCAGCCCTTCTTGCTCCTTCTCTTTTTGTCAATCTTGCCCTTCGCTGCAGCGCCTACTCCAGCTTGGCTCTCCTTCCGCTGCTTCTTGAGCCATGCCACTGCCGTGGCGAAGGCCTTCTCCAGCTCCAGCTCCGAGTGGTCCAGGGGCTTGAAAGCGCGTTGCTTCCGGTTGCTTCCGCCGGTGTCCGCCTGCCAGCATTGAATTTCGCGTGTGCCAACCGACGCCCGGGAACGCCACCTTGGGCAGAAACACCGGCAGCTCCGCCCGGGCAGCGCAGCTCTTGACGGTGCGCTGCAGCCCGTGGAGCTCCCGCAGCTCCGTGGCGCGGGCCTCCGCCGCGGCCTTCTCCGTGAAGCGGCCGCCTCGGATTGTCTTGCTGCCCGGCTTGGAGATTTCCACCCGCCACTTCTTCATCGCCTTGTCATATCTCACCCCGAGCACGTCGGAGGTGAGGCGCTCGTCCCGGAGCTTCTCCTTGATGTAGCCCCTGGCCACCAACTCCGCGCGGAAGGCTTTGGCGGCCTCCAGGGCGGCGGCCTCAGCTTCCGCCTCGTCGCGGCCATCCTTCATGAAGCGGCTGACACTGAAATACGCATTGCGCTTGGTCCCGGCTCCTGCTGTGCGTTCAGTCCATGTGAGCTTCCATCGAAACATGCCGGGGCTCCAACTGATGCCCGGAATCCCGCTCTGCTTCTCTTGCTGTGTGGACCGCGCGTGCACAGGCTTCACAGCATTTCCTGGAACATTCCCTGCGGCAACTTGCCCTGGAGCAGCTGCCCCTCTAGCAGCGGGCTGAGCAGCTGGCTGCCCGGCAGCTCCCACAGACTCCCAGACTTGGGCGCCGTGCATGGCTTCTGCGCCGCCTGCGCAGGACAAGCGCCGCAAGCCGCTGTGCTCCTCGTAGGCCAAGCCGCGACCAGCCCAGATGCTGCTGGGCAGATCCCGCATCCACGGCCACATCTTCGTGCATGCCGCCCCGCTGGCCGGGAAGCTTGCATCTTCTTGTGTGGCGGTTGCCGCAGCACCTCGCCAATCCAACGACAACAAAGTAGCCGCCCAAAAAAAGGCACACAGGGCTGCTCGCAGCAAACGAATCCATGAAACATGGCTTCTGATTGAACACTCCAAAAGGGAGCCCTTCCATTTGGCAAGCCGGCCATGACTCTAACATCCAATGAGTTGCCAGCGCCGATCCGACACATCTGAGATCCCAACGCGCTGAAGGCTTGGTTGTCGGATCAGCCGCTGGCAGTGCCGCAAAAATGGGATGCCCACGCTCGAAGAAGCGCCGCAAGCAGCACAGCTCCTTCTGGGACAAGCGCTGCACGCAGGGCGGATCCTTCTCTTCTGGCACGATGGGGGAGCTGAAGAAGAGGCTTGCCGGGCAGCAGGGCCTCTCATCGGACATTGCGTGCGCACACCGTGGATCTAAAGATTCCCACAATGAACTCTGGGATTTCACTTTGGACAGGTGACTCATCATGGTTCCAAATACGAAGCCATATTATGCAAATCACCCAGAACAACGTAATTTCTACATGGAATCATCTCAAGCTGCCACGCAAACAACCGTGCAGCCGATGCAAGCCTTAACCTCCATTTGCTTAAGTCCCCTTTTTTCTATTTTTAGTGCTAGATTTCCTTTAAAACCAACAGGGGGAAATAAAACATATTCTTAACCAAACGGAAGTCAAACCCACAAACACAGCTGCTTCTTGGTCAGCAGGACCGGCCTTGAGGGCGTCCAAGTTGACTTCCTGCGGAACTCCGCGCACTGCCGGGCCCACGCCGTCATCTGGCCATCAAGATCCGGCAGCTTGTTGCCAGCCAGGCGGTGCGACTGGTGGCCAGTCCTGTGGCTTCCCAAAGGCGAAGAGTGGCTGCTCTTGTTGCGGGCTACTGTTTATCTCACTTGGCCAGTGAGCCAAAACAAAGTGCACACTTTTTGGGCCACACTAAAATAAAGGGAAAGCCACCAAGGAAAAAAGTGTAAAGTGTGCCCACTGGCTGGGTGAGTTATCTTGGGGATCCACCGTAAACATCGGAATGAAACATAAACAACACAAAAAAAAAGAAACGCCTGCCAATGGCCTGCCAATGGCCAGCTGGGATTCTCTTCCAAGGACACTGGCTCTGCTTTCACCACAGCAGCCTTCTCGTCTGCTGACTGTCCCATCTCCGCCTTGACTGTTGGCTGGCGCTTGATGCTTGTGCCGTCTTCTCCAGCTGCGGTGGTCGAAAAGGAAAACTCGGTTTTCACCTGATTCAGAAAAGCATGTAGAAATGCACATGGCACCATGGGGCCAAAGAATGCAGCACAAGCCCAGGCAAGCACAATTTGTCCACACAGAATCAACAAAACTGACTCCGCTGTCATGCTGAGCTGGCTTAGCCTTCAACATCCCTAAGCCACAGCCAGACAGGCTCCCTCACATGCGTTCGACGCATGTCGTCCACTGGATTTCCTTCAACGGGAAGCCAAACATGGAAACACAGGGGGAACATAGCGCGTGGGCAAATCGACACGACCCAGGTGGAAAACCAGAGGAACCAAAAACGGGAAACCAAATGTGGGCCGCAAATCGTGGAAAACGAGCTTGGTAAATAACTAGCGGGCTTTCACAGCCGAGCCGCCTCCTTCACCTCTGTCTTCTTCAGTTGTTCAGTGACTCTGGCAAAAAAGGGAACTCTTTGTGGGGAAGATCATTTTCAGTGGGGCAGCCACCAAAAAAAGGGGGAAAAAGGGTGCCACTGAACAACTGAGCTTCGTCTTCAACCAAAGGTTGCGCAAGCCAAGACCGGCTTCTAGGCTCTCTTCCTTCTTGCAGATGCCGGCCATGCTTTGACTTACCTGCATGTCATGACGCCGAAGGCGCCGACGCTTTACAGTCCGCGAGGGGTCTCCACTTGGCTGGCAACCTGCCTCCTGCAGAGTTCCATGCATTCCATTCGATCATCACCCAACCAAATTCAAACCGAATTGCCTTAAAAGGGTATTAAAAGGGATGACATGTAGCGGACCCTGCCCGCAACAACCATGTTTTGGTAAACTCGCTTCAACTTGGCATCCAACACAGGCAAACAAAAATTAATCCCTTCTCCCTAATCATAAATGGAGCTCTTCCCCGGACACGAAATCCATCCAAATCGCAATTGTCCGAGACACGAATTAAGATGAAATCGTTCAAGGTTGTGTTTTCGGCTTTGCGGTTCAAGGGCAAAGGCGCCATTTAAATTTAGAAACGCAACAAAAGTAAATGGTATAATATATATACATATATACTTTCACATGTCTTGGATTCCCCCCTTTATTTGACGGGTGTCGGGATTGGCGGGTTTTGGAATTGGTTTAGAATTGGCTTGTCTAAAAATGAAATTGGGGATTCGGGTGCCTGGGAAGAACGATGCTTATAAATAGGGGAAGGGAGTAACATCCATCTTGAACCCCATCCTGCTTAAGAAGCTCGAATTTGATGCCGCTGGTGCGCCGCATGTCTTCGGAGGCATGCTCGTTCTTAATCTCTGTCATGCCTGGCAGGGTGGCCCAAAGCCTTCGCTGGGACCAGTTAGGGAGAGATTTGGGTTCCATACTGTCAGGAGAAAGCCTACGAGGCAAGTCTAAGCAAATTCACCAAGAGGGATCCTTCGACAGAAATCCTAGAAGGCATCCAAGAAGGCATCCTGCAAATGTTCGTTTGCCCCAAGTTGCCGCTTTGCTCCACTCTCATTGCTGTCTTGGAGGTGCTCCGGGATGGTTTCTCATTTGCCCAGTGCGCCTCTGCACGCGATCTCTGGCACGAGGCCGCCAACCGCGGTGTCCGGTCGTGGCAAAGCTCCGAAGCCCGGAGCTGAAAATGGCTTCGGAAGCAAGGCATCGGCTCAACTTGGCCTCTTGACTGGGTGGGTTGGTGACTGGGTGGGTGGGTGGGTGGGTTTGCCAAGAGAAAGCTCAACATTTTGCGGCAACATGCTATCATCACACGGGCTAGTATTGGCTTCGACTCAACTCAACAACCATTGATTCACACCCCTTTCTGGTGTACCTCGAAAGTTGCGGTTTTTGCATTTCTTTCTAGAGTGAAGGGCAGGCCCTTCCTAATCAGCCAGGGCATCCAGCCCAAAGCGCGAGCGCAACAACATGCGCTAAGGACCATCACCCTCAGTCAACGTCTGATCAAAGTGAGCGGACGCGGTATGGCAAAAATAATCAAAATATGTCCACTAGTGAAATTGATTCCCTTTCAAACCAACATTGCTGGTGCTCAGATGTGCTCAGTAGGGAATCCACCTCCTATGGTTTCCTTTAAGGGAATCCCCAGGTTGATTTCAATTCTCATTCTTTCCCTATCGCACCAGCAAGCAACAGAGGAAAATCAAACAATATTCATTTCAGCAAAAAAAATGGTCTGAAACACAAATGGAAGAACATGAATGGGGAAGACATCAGAACCCTGACGAACGTACCTTCAGTCACTTGTCATTCCTTTCAGCAAATGGAACGTGCCCATCCCCTGGTTTCCCCTGGGTTGCTTGGGGTTTTGATGGGTTCCCTAGAAAATCCCCACCAATCCGAATGGGACTCCATGGTTTGTCCGCCCGAGCATCCTGAACAGTAGTTTTAATGGACATACCAACCAAAATGAGCGGCTCTACACGGGTTAACAAATGGACTGCATGGTTATACTGTGGTTATACAGTGGCTATACCAACCAGAAAATCAAACAATATTCATTTCAGCAAATGGACACGGTCTCCAGCTTACGCTTCACTCCTTGAGAACGTGGTACTCCGTCTGGCGCTTGCGCTGGAAGCGGCCCTTGAAGCGCCGGGTCACTGTGACCACGCCGTCCTCAAAGACCTCAGGCCGAGGTCGTCGAAAGAAGCCGTCCCTCCAGGGGTTGATTCCCCATTCTTTTCAACCGTCATTCTTTTCAAAAACCAGCTGTTTCCCCTGGTGATCTGATGGCTTTCTGAAAAGAAAGAATGGGGAAGTGTCCCCCCGCTACCCGCAAGCCACTCCTCCACAGGCATTCTGGGACAGAAACGGGGTGTACAACCCATACAACGCAGTATTACCGCAATATCAGGGATATATGCCGCTCAGTTGTTGACTAAATTGGCCAAACCAAATTGTCCCCCACCCAAAAAAGTGACTACAGTTCAGGAACTCAGCAAGTAAGCAATACAACCACAATAATTACCAAGGATACAAACCCACTCAGTTCCTGCCTAAACTGAAGAGGCTCCTACAGTAAAAATGGCAACCAAACCCAAAAAAGTCCAGGAACTCTGCGAGTTAAAATCCCAACTGGTCACTCGATCGGAGGAAAAGTTGGTAGGAGACACAGCTCCAGTCGCGTTGCCGCCCCCCAAGCAGCCCGGCAAAAGAGAGTCGGCACCGGTCCCAAGCGTGATGTGCTCGCCACAAACCTACGAGGCTGAGGGCCGAGTGGATTGGCCCAAGCTTTCGATAAATCTCATCCCACCCACCACCAACAAGGGTTGGTTCACCTGCATTTGCTTGAGTCCACTGGAAGAAAAACACATCCCAGTTACTCATTCCTTTAAAACCAGAGGTGAAGAAAAAAACATCCTAGCGGCTCATTTCTTAAAAACCAGAGGTGGAAGCAAACAACATCCTAGTGACAAATTCCTGTATAAACCAGAGAAAATGAAGCAAATGCTGAAGCAAATGGAAGCTTACGGCTGGTCCCACGAGTGCTCAGTGGGGGTTCAAATCCCGCCGCGACGCCTGCGATGCAGGCGCGCGCCACAAGGCTGCAGGCGCCTGCCGGTCTCAAGACGTTGGGGTCTGGAAACGACCTGTTAATTCAACTAATTGGAATTCTACAATGGCAGCCGCTTCTGAACACATCGTGTTCAAAACACGTTATGAAAGCTCAACAATCTGGTCTTGGACAGCTGAGAAAGACAACAAATCCGGAAGTGGCAAAAGTCCTTGAAAGCCAGGCGAAGGAAGGAACAAGAAACAGCATGTCTTGGTGCACATGAACCAGGGAAACAAATCCAAATACAAACCACCCAAACCACCAGTGCAAGCAACCAATGCCAATGAGGAGTTACCTGATTTAGGGGGTAGAAGGCTTGAAGTCTCAAGGTGCTCTTCCTCTAGCCTTCCCAGTTGGAAAGGTGCTCCCAGAAATGGATTGGAAGCAATATCCTTGGACATAGGGCTTGCAAAGCCCCAGCCATGCCAACTTGGTCCTTTGCTCCCGCGCTGACTTCAAAGACTTCGGCCACTGGGGATCGGTCTCGTGAAGCCCAAGCCGCAAACAAGTGGAGGACCTACGTCGCAGTGAGCTCGTTTTACATCCCAGGTGGCCGCGCCGATCCCTGGGCGGGCTTCCACATGGGGAATCTCCAAGCTGGTTGAAACGTGTGGGGCGAAGCCGGGCTAAACATGATGTTTGTGGAACTTCCCGTGGGAAGGGTTCCTTATTTGGAGCTACCCGCTCCGTTGCAGAAGGACTTCACAGGGGCAACAAAGCCAAGCGCATTTCCAGGGACGGGCTTTGGAAGTACGGATGTCAATGAAAGCCACGCAGCCGACCTTCATACCTCCAAAACCCATACCCACAAATTGAAAACGCCTCAATTAAGTGAGGGGATGTGAGAAGGGGATGCCTGAAAACGGATCCCATCATTTTGAGCAGCGTAAAGCAAATGGCTCCACTGCCCACACCACCAACCCCAGCGAAAACCGGGGGGGGGGGGGGGGGGAAACCGCCAGTTTGCACCATTTGGGCCTTTGCAGTAGTCTTCCTGAGGGTCGCGCTGCAAGTTTCGCTGCAGCAACCAGAGAATAGCAACAACGGGATCCACAAACCAGCAACCCGAACAAACGAGAGCTTCAACATTGAGCCCCAACAAAAACAACTCGAAACCAGGAGGTTCCCTCTGTGCTTAATGTTAACCCCCGATTAATAAACCCCTGGTTGATTAATACGGGGCGTGTCCCCTTTTCGTGGGGATTCAGACTGATTCAGACCTCTTTTGGAGGGAACACCGCCCGAATAATGGGACGGGGTTACTAATCCTGGGTCAACATGAATTAGCTTCCAGAAGTGAAATCGATTCCCTTCAAACCCAACAGGGGAAAATAAAAACAAACGTTCATTTCAGCAAATGGCAGTAGTTTCGTATTCCCCACACGTCGCAGGGCCGACCAATTTTTTCTTTCCCAACAGACCCCGTCGCTGCCCGCGACGGTCGCGGCTCGCCTGCTGCAGGGCTGCAGGGGTCGCACGACAAGTCCTCCAGCCTGGCGCTGCGAAAGGCCGACGCGGGAGGATTGACCCCACGGTTTTGCGGCCGAAGCTTCGGAGCTTGTGAGGGACCAACTGCGAGAAGCTGGACCCCGAGACTGTTGTGAACCTTCGAAGTCTCAGGTTGCGAATTGGGACCCATGGGGTTGCTGCGTGCTATCTGCTTCAAATCCGAGATGCTTAAGATGCTTGGGATTCTCTTGCCACCCTGAATATGGCCCATTTTAAACCCAATGTTCCACAACTCATTTGCAAGCCCTGGATATCTCACACAGTGTTGACCCAGGATTCCGTCTGCTCTGGGGTCGTGGGCCTTGTGGGTGTGTTACTGCTGATGGTCCTTAACATTTTCCTCTCCAGTTGCTGCAGCCTCCTGGCAAACAAGATCATGTGTCCAGTAGTAAAATCGATTCCCTTTTCAAATCAAGAGGGGAAAAATAAAGCAGACAATATATGCATTTCAGCAAACGACAGTTGGATCACTTTACCACGGCTCCTTGGCATTTTACATTATTTTTTTATCCGAAACGGACACGATCCAAAACACCCGGCGCCTCATGTGCGCGGGCAGCACAAAATGCACCAGCGGCCCCTCTTTGAAGAAGAGCTCGCGGTCCCGGCCTCACGAAACTGTGGCGAAACCGAGCTCGAAGATATATGAAACAGGGACCTTCCTCTCACTTGCCGCTTGGGGACCTGGCAAAAAACGGGGGTCATCTTTTGCAACCTCGACTCTTGACTCAATATGGATCCAAAATTATTTTAGAGAAGAACTTCTTGGCCGCTTTGCTTGTCTTCCGAAAAATATGTGAAGCAGGATTGTGGGGAATGGAATCCACTTCTGTGATACAACAGAAAGGGCTTCCCAAAGGCTCTTTTGCTCCTATAAAGGAGGATTCCCTTGTATCACAGAAGTGGTTGGAGAAACCCCGAGTGATCCCACAACCCTGATGTGAAGCAAAGGCCAAACACTGGGAGAATGAGAAGGAACATAATTCCAGACCGAATGCGCAGAAAAGGGTTGCCGAAATGCGCCCTATCACAGATCACGCAGAGGCAAGCTTACTCCCCTACAAGCGAAATGGGAATCCAAAAGAGAGGGTCCCTCAAAGGATGTTCCTCAAACAACTACGTAGGTTTTTGTTGGGTTCCATGTGTATCTGCAGGGGAGTCAATTGGACTTCCCACAAAATGATGCTTTTCACTCACCTCCTGAGTGATTGAGCAAAAACATAAGCGTGATGTTTGCCACTGAAAAGAACATCCAAAGCTTGAAGTGCAGGAACTCGGGGGAGTGAGATAAACTCTCCCCGTTTCCTGTTGGTTCTTCAAGTTTGCGTGGGGTGTGTTGGGCCCAGCATGCATTGCAGTGACCTTCCCCTCAGCTGCCAAGTAGATTTTCCAATCAAGGCCCCGACCAACTAGAGGGAAGCTGGTTGAGCATCTTGAGGCCAACCTTGCTGAGCTCCCATTGGTGGCTGATGTTGAAGGGGAATCCTGATATGCTTTGACGTTGTTTGGACGTGCTAGTTGGAAGGCTTGGTGAGTTTGGAGTGGCCTCATGGCGTTAGTGCCTGGGACAATTGGGAAGGGTTGCATTTTGGGGCCTCTCTTGTTTACCTAGTTGACAAAATGGGCACCCATACGTTGATCCTTCCAATTGCTTAGGGAAACAATGAGAAAACCTTTGCTAGTGATCATGCCCCTCCTAGAACCAAGGGGTTTTGAACCAAAAGCAAAGAGCCCATGCAGCACAAGGAAGCTACGAATCCCGTGGAACACACATGTAGGACCATGGCGGCGCAGATGATGCATCAGCATCCAAAAGGAAAGCTTCAAATGAATGTCAACCCCGGATGAATAAACCAGGCAAATGAAAAGGAGCAGGCATCTCGGATGGATTCGACCATAAAACGGGACACCCACGACCAAACTCAATTGGAGGTTCTAAATCCTGAGTGCTTGTTTTTTTTAGTGGAAAGCCAAATGGGCCTGTCAAAATGGGTTTCTCCGTCTAAGGGTGGAACATACCCCTTGTTCATACCCTTTGGCTTCCCTGCTTTCCAAGCCACTTTATAAGGGGTAGATACCCGTTTTGGGGAGAGGGGCATGAACGTCCGCAGGCCTGGGTTCATTTGCCCCAGGGGTATGTGTACCTTGGCACGCCTGGACTCTACAGCTTCCTCCCCCCAATTTGTGGGACTCGCTGAGCCGATTGGATCTCCAGGGCCCCGAGCTGAGAGGACACGGCCAAGCGGCTTCGTTCGGCGCCTGCGGGCTGTGGGCGGGCCAAGTGCGAAGGTGCCACCGAAGGTGCCGGACAGCATTCACTTGTGGGAGTTGGTGATAACCCTTTTTGGGTTGGTTTTGGGGGGGATCGAAGAAAAAGACACCATTTGGGGGTGTCATTTTGGGAGTTGGGACACCAAGAGATACACCACCTTTTGGTGCTTTTTGGGAGGTGGTTGGGGTACCTTTTGTGGGTTGGCTTGAAGGGAAACCAAAAGAACAAACACAACATTTGGGGTGTGTGCTGTTTTGGAGTTGGCATTTAGATCATGAAGCGTAATATCGTATTGATGAGCTCACTTCCAATCCGGTTGAAAGGAGGAAGTCAAGAGAAGGAGGGGCGGTTCTTGGGAAGTATCCTTAATTCTGGGGGGTTTGAACAAATCTCAATTGAGGTCAACATAGGCGGTCACCCGAGAAGGACTCGACAAGCAGTGTTCAAGCCCCGCCTTTGTGTCGGCAGGTGCTCAAGGGAACCAGACGGAAACTATACGGAAACCAACCGTTTTAGGGTTGCCCTAATTTGGATATACAGGGCCACATATTCTATCTGCATGTTTTACTATAATTCCAAAAGCTGAATTATTGGATCTTCAAGTACAGGATGTTTTATCATGGCTTTCGCTCGTTAAACCCCCGAATTGATGAGCTCGCTAAACAAATACTGTGGATGGTGAGCAAATCTATTTCGAGTCGATTTACCTGGTTTACGAGTCTATTCCCCAACGCAAATACCAACAAAAGTTCGGGTTTCAACCATGCCTTCATTTCGTGGTGCGACATGGACTTTGCAACCATCCACAGTAGGCTTGCATCCATTCCGGTAAGGTCGCACCCAACAACCCTTCCAATATGCTTAAGCCCCCTGGAAAGAATATGTCCGGCAGTGATAAACTCCCTTTTGAAACCAACAAGGTTTTTTTTTTTTTTTACCAAAAATAAAATAAAATCATATATTCATTTCAGCAAATAAAAGAACCCCAGCCGGGCATTTCCGTTGAAGGCTCCCCCGAGTTTCCACCTTGCCGGGCCTCCTGCCCGCAAAGACGCCGCAGCGTGAGCAGCAGGTCTCGACTGTGGAGCACCTATCGTGTTTCAGGCTGGGTACCCTTTTGGGTTGGTTTAAACAGGGGTCACTAAAAGAATGATTGAGACCAAGGATCCAAAGGCATTGTTTCCCAAACCTGAGCTGCTGATGCTGGCAAAACACGTGGATAAACTTGTTAGGCCTGGGCCTAGATAGCTCGAGACAGGGACACCTCCTACTCCAAATGCCCGCTTTTTAAGGGTATTATTATCCTGACTAAATAAGGAGTATGGAGGTATTTCCAAGGAAAAACCTAGTTTGTTCAACCCGGTTGTTGCCAAACATGGGACCACTACCGTCTACCGTCCATGACCTGCACATGCTTTCCCTCTCTCTGGGTCTGAGTCAGTGCGTAAGTGTGTGTGTGTGAATGAAGCGACTTCAGGAGTGCCCCATCCCCCATCTTAGTATGGCTCCCATGCTGTTCCTATTTTTTTGTTTGAAATGGTTGCTTCAAAACCAAGCAAGACTTCCGTTTGCTTCGTTGCCGCCTGGGCAAAATGATAAACATATGTTCATATGTCCTGTAGGGAAATCGATTCCCTGTTTCAACAAAAATGAAGGATATGGTTCAGCACGTGGAAGCCCAGGTTCATTCTTCAAGCAAATGAAATACAAATAACAATCTTAAGCAAATGGAAGAACAAAACGGATCCCTGGGTTCAGAATGGTTGGAAGCTTCAGCTAGAACCGTTGGCTTCACCCAAACCCGCCAGGTCCCCTCCCGCAGCTACCGCTCCCAGATCCGCCTGGAGCCGCGCCACCACTTTGGAGGTGAACTCCCCTACCCAGCCGAGGCTGAGGCGCAACATCTGCCAGGCTCCCGCCGCCGCCGCCTCACTGGCGACTTGTTGCTGCGTTTTTCTTTCCAGGCGTCCGAGGCCGAGGCTGGTTGGGCGTTTTCTTTGGCTCATCTTCCCAGTTGCCACCAGTGGCCACGCTTGTTTGGGGGGGTTGACCTCAGCTTGAGTTGAACACACTCCAAGCCAAAAGGGGACCATTGGATCTGATTCGGTCCCCAAAAAAAGGTTTTTGACACACCCACCTCCGCCTCCACCCAATAATATGCGTGAATTCTGGCCCACATCCAGTAAACCTCACCCTGCTACTCACTTGCCCACAGGACCCAAACACAAACGCTTCACCTTTTGGGGTGAATTCTGAAATTGACCAACAAGCCCAAAGGTGGCCAAAGGTGAGAAGGTCGGCTTTGGGCAAGTGAGGCTAAAGTGCCAAAGAGACTTCAGAAGAGGATGCATAGTATTCCACGTAGAGGCTTCCAACATGTGGGGAAAAGCGCCATTCTCGGTACATAGCTCTTTCAACAAACTAATTGGACACAGTTTGGATTGGCTCATTCCACTCCTGACGAGTCCTGCACCCGCCAAACCCAACCGATAAATGCTTGGGGGCCAAGCCAAGGTTTCGTCCTTTTGGGATCACTTTTTGGGAAGACCATCTGAGTAAGCAAGACGTATAGACGTTGCTGGGCTCCGCTCAGGAAGTGAGACCTGATTGCATGTGGTTTCCATTGGGTGTCCATTTTGGTTTCCGTTAAGACCAACGTTTAGTGCGTTAAATACGGAAACCCAACCACCTTTCACCAACTACAAACCACTAAACAAAACCTAGAGTTGAGCCCTTTCACCAACTAAAACAACTAGAACCCGGAGTTGAGAAGCTTTAAAATATCCCGGAGGCAGTTGATTTTGTTGGGCATGTGGCAAATGGAACAAAACACCCATCTGGCTGTGGGTCAAAAATACGTACCCAAAATGGAACCCATAAAACTTAAAACACTCACTTGCTAAACTCACTAAAACTTGCGGGTACATATTAAACTCACTAAAACTTGACCCATAAATGGCAACACTCACTAAAACTTGCGGTCCGCTGGTTTCATTTTGGCCCACATCTGAACCAGTGGGGCCCATCTCTTTTGCGAACTCGAGCCGGCACGAAACAAAGAACCAACCAGGAACCACTAAACCCAGTCAAATCCAAAGAAAAAAAGCCAAGTTGACCCAACTAAAAACCACTAAAACCCACCTTTCACCAACTAAAAAGCCACTAAACAACTTAAGTTGAGCCGGCATCGCCGAAAACAAACACAATCCAGACCCCCCCAAAAAAAAGCAGCCGCCAAAAGTCAAACCCCCCAACAACCTAAGTTGCGCCGAGAGAAATCCCTGGACTCGGTGTCCAAAGGCTGCGGCCTCCTCGAAGCGTCGGAGCTGCTCCGGGCTCAGCTCTTCCCTCGCACCGGATGCCCAACGGATGGCAGGCAGGCGGAGGCTCGGGAGGTGTCTCGTGTTTTGTGGCAATTCGTGTTTTGTTTTGTGTTTTGTGGCAATTTCTCGTGTTTTGCGGTGGTGTTGCAGGTGTCTTACACTTTTGAACCCGACAAAACAACTCGTGTCTCAAGAAAAAAACAAAACACGACAGCAGGCCACGTTGGGGGGGTCTCCAAGAGGGGAACAAGAGCTCTGAGTGTATGGTGAACTGAGTGGGTTTTGGGGATGAGTGCGGTTGGGAATGCTCGAATGCACTGTAATGTACCAGGGTTTAAGGGGTTGAGTGTGCTTGGTTTACTAGGGTTCACTTGCAATATTGGGTTGGCGTCCAGCGAATCAGTTGGTATGACAGGGTAAAAGTAGACGGCACATTTCTCGGCATGTGGGTGAGGAAAGGGGATGACAAACCGACCTACTGCAAGCTTCCATTTGCTTAAGCCTCCGGGAAAAAAAAAGAAACAAACAATAGTGATAGATTCTCGTTCAAACCAACAGGGCCAAAAAATATATATTCTTAAACGAAATGGAAGTAAGCCAGTGTCTTTGGAACTTGAGGCCCCTGACTTTGGAGGCCCAACACACAAACACAACCAAGCGGGAGCCCGAAGAACCAAAGCCCAGGAGCTAAGAGTTCCCTCTGCTTCAAGGGTTAGGAGCTGCAAACTGTTCAGGCCTGCCCTTCTCAATTCGTCACTAGGGACTTATGTCTTTGCTTGATCATTTCAAGCGGGGAACCTACCAAACGAACAGGGAGAGGATGCCACGGAACCGCGGCATGGTCGCAGAAGCAGCGCCATCGCAAATTGTGAAAACTGCATGAGCACTGCTTACAGTCCCAACCAATCCAAACCACCAAGTAAGGGGTACAACTACGTTGCGGGGCTCCCTATATTTGCCCGTTGAACATCACCCAAAAGGGAACTCGCTATAGATAGTCTTGATGCACTGAGTATCTCAGCAGCTCTGGGCTCAACTTTGAGTTCACGCGCTTTCACAGTACACATCTTCAAAGGGACATGGAGCTGGAACCCTGGAATTTCCGCGCCCTCACTGACCTAAGTTCCCAACGGACCCCAATGTCTTACACCATACTGTGGATGGACGAAATCCGTTCGCATCACCTAAGAAACTATGGAAAGCCCTTGCTTGTTGTTTACAGGGGAATCGAATCATTCCAGGGTCTCTTAGGTGCTGCGTTGGATGGATTTCGCGCATCCACAGTATTTGGATGACCCTAACATAGGTTCTAACCACTGGGCTCCAGGCTTCTCTAAGCGATCGGTTAGAACCCCTTCAAACAGAAGAGTCAGGCGTCGAAATCTCCTCCAACCAACACTGCGAGCAGTTGCTGTCGACAGGCCAAGGTGGCTCCTTTTCGAGGAAATCGATGGCCCTAGTAGATGGTTAAACCACCAGGCAAACCAGGAATCGCCCGCAATTTATTTTTCCAGCAAACCCAACCAACCATATTTTTCCTAGCAAAACAACAAAAAAAAAACAAAGGACACCTATAAACCTCAGCGTTACCAACCAGGCGATTCCTTCTGGAAGCTCATGGAAGCTCCCAGGACCAGGCCTTCTGGGAGCTTCCATGGCTGTTCGTCTGAGACAGTGTAACCACTTGGGAGCTGCTTTCATGTCCAAAGTAAAAAGTGAATGGGTGTGTCTTAGAATAGCGGTACCCCCAAAATAGGAATAGCAGCTTTCATTTTGGTTTGCCTGTCAACCAACCTGAAAAGGGGTGCCCTTGGTAAACACACGAACCCAAATGCAGTACCGCCAAATGGTAGCTTTCCTGTTGGTGTTCCTTCAAACCAACTTGAAATGGGTGTCCTCAAAAAAAGTAAGCAAACGAACCCAGGTTCATACTAACCTAGCATAACCTAGCCCTTCGTGTCCTCGGCCAGCCTCAAGCCGAGCAGAAAAACGGCGCGCGGAACTCGCTCGAGTCCCTCTCCTGCAGCTGATACATGTGCGCTGGACGAAATTGCCCCCACAGCACTCGGATATAGGGAATCCCGATGTTGCAACCAACACCTGCTTCATATAGAGGTCATCTAGACCTTCGAATCCCGCTTTTTTGTGACCTGATTGGGGTCACTGGGACCAACCTGCTTCATAAAGCCCTCTCCCTGGATGGACGTGGCGCCTCCCCATGCGTTTATGGAACCTTGGGGCTCTGAGGCGCTCCTCCTGCGAGGTGTGCCGCCACAGGCAATGGAGGAAAGCTCTCATCCAGAAGCACCTCGAACTGATCTCATTCGAAGTGATCTCTAGGCTAGGTCCTCCAGCAGAGAGGTTAGAACAGGTTGGTACCAACTTGTTTCCGTTTTGTCCGTTTTAGTAGGGGAAGCCTCCCAACCAAAAAAGGGGTGAGAAGGGCACTGGGGGACCTAGTAGAAATACATAGGTCAGCGGCGCCTGCTCATGGGGGATGTGGCCGAGCGCTTTGACGATTGCAATCGTGAATAATTTCAAAGAATTTGCTCACTGACCCCCAAACCGAACCACAGAAAAGAAATATGCCAGCAAAGCCTTATTTAGAACTTGTTTACCCCTAAATTGCATCTGCTTGTTGTCGTGTCCAGGGGTCTGGTGCACAAACTTTGACAGTTCTTTCCCAAGAAAACTCAAGGACACCGCTCACCTTGCTGAATTTTCTCATTTTCTCAGTTTGGGCGGGGGGTGGCAACCAGGTTCTCGCGTTGCAATACTCACTTGCCTTACGTTCAAAGGGCCCGGACATACAAGGTGAACCAGATCACCTTTTGGGACCACATCACTTGCCCAGCTTGGGCCCATCAATAAAAACAGATCACCTGTTGGGACCTGGACTGAAATAGACCAACCTGGGGAAGCCTAGCCTCTGGGATCTTGATCCGAACAGAAACCCGAGACTAGTTGAGAGACAAACGGTCGTTTCACGCCAGCTGCGCGAAACGAGCGCCCAATGCCCAGTGTCGACCAACCCGATGAAAGCTCCACCGCTCCATGGAACTTCGGGCACGTCGACAACCGCGACAACTGCACCAGCAGCGTGACTGAAAGCCGGCACCACGATCACAGAAGTCTCTTCCATGGATTGGCATACCAAGGAAACCCTCTTGAATACTTTATCAAACTCCGGGAAACTTGTTTGCGGGAATCACAGAAAGTGGCAAACAAACACAAAATATAGTTTATCAAACTCCCGAGAATTTTTCGGGAATCACAGAAGGCGGCAACCAACAAAAACAACACGAAATAACAAACTCCCCGGACTTTTTCGGGAATCACAAACGAACAATTCCACAACAAAAAACACCAATTCCCCACAACGGTGGGAAAAACCTCGGGCCACACAGCCCATGGCTGAACGACCGAGGGCTGAAGGAACCGTACTTTCCGCCAATTCCCCAGAAGGATGCACCACCAATTCCCCCCAACGGTGGGATCCCATGCATATGGCCCATGGCTAAACCACTAGGGGCCAAAGGGACCGGATGCCTCGAAATCCGCTGCCAAGCCGCCAAGGCGCCGCCCGCCAAGTGGCGGAAGAAGTTGTCGGCCGCGGGCCACAGGGCAGCGCCCCTGGCTGGGCGCGCTTTTGGGCGCGCGCGCGCGGGGGGCTTCAAACTAATTTCCAAATGATATCTATGTTTACTAAAACAATGGATGTACTCATTGAACTAATTTACCCCAAGTCCGCAGATTTTGAATTTTACTAATTTACTAATTTTACCCTAAGTCTGCAGATTTTCTCATTTTACCAAAACCATGGATGCCTTGCAGGACGAGGTGCTTTACCCGCGACCTAACCCCATCTCCAGATAAACTGGTTCCAGGGTACAAAGCGGTTGAGAAGAAAAGACAACGCTTCCCGAAAGGGGCTACTCCCAAATCAACAAGCGGGTGCCACATCGTCCCGCCACCAGCCTGCATACTGATGGAGTATGTAGCCTATAGACCATGTACGGCCTATGTGTGCCCCATTTTCTGGGGGTTTCCGCAACCTGTGGACGCTGAACAAACATTGGCCAAAAAGGCAAACCAAATAAGCCATGTAGGTCTACCTGTGGGGGCACGGTCTGATTGAAAGCACATTTTGCCCCTAGCCTGGGCAGGGAAATCAAGGAATCCCTGCTTTGCCGACTGTAGATGAAAGGGCTCTAAACAGAAAACACCGAAACAAATGCCGTAGCAACCAATAAAGCAAACTCGGCTGTTCCACGTAGAGGACACCTTTTTAGGTTCCTTCCTTGAATTTGTAGGGGAGAAATCAGATTTCCGAAAATCCCCACTGCAAAAAACTGCAAAACTACTGCAAAGCCAAGACCCTGAATTTGGGGGCTTTTGATTGACCACATTCGCTTAAGTCCCCTGACAAAAATGGAAAAATATGTCTAGTAGTGATAGATCCCCTTTGAAACAACCATTCTGAAACGCAAAGACAAGACAGACAACAAGGATTTGGGCCCCCCGGAAAAGACGACCGCATCCTTTCAAGCCCAAAGGAAGAATCCGAAGGCCATTGGCCTATTAGGGCCATACCCCCCACACCCCACGAACATGCAAGGGGTCCTGCTCCAAGGACAATTTCCTTCCAGGATGTTCATGGGGAAGTGTGTTGGGGACAAACATCATTCGCAGAGGCTGGCATGGAGAAACTCAGGCTGATCTGCTGAGTTGACTGCCCAAGAAACACATCCAGGCTCCAGGCTCAAATAACTAAACAACTCTGCAGGGGTCAACGTTTCATATTGACCTCTGACCAACAAACCTGCCAGCTCCTAATCAGGAGGAAAGGAAATCCCACAAAAAAAGGTGCACCCCGGAATAAACAAGCGGGGGGTTGTGAATCAGGAATCAACATTGAAACTTAAACGGGCGAGGGCATTGCCCAGTGATTTAGGTCGGGGCTACTTCGCTCGCCATTTGATATTAAACGAAATCCATTTGGCACCACCTAAGAAAAAAACTGGAGTGATGACCGCCTTGTAAATACCAACCGACAAGGGGCTTTCAACCATGGTTTCTGAACGGTGCGGGTTTCTGATTTCGCAAGCAGGGATTGGAAGCAGCTCCTTCGCCCCCCTCCGCCCCCCACCGCCCACCCCACCCACCCCACCCCACCCCACCCCACCCCACCGCCACCACCCCCACCACCCCCACCCCACCCTCCCCCACTACTCCGCGAAATTTTGTGGCCTGAAGTGGCCCTCCAAGACATCCGCCTCGCGGGTGCCAACGCGAGGTGGATCCTTCCCATGGAGGATCCAGAAGTGACCCAGAAAAGACAGGGAACTTACCCCGTTTTTTGAGGCAATAACACGTTCTGAAGGGAACTGCGCAAACTAATCGCAAAACCCGAAGCAAATTAAGAAATGGACCTCCGAGTAAAGGACCTACATCATGGCGAGCTCGCTTTCCCCCAATGCAAATCTAAGGGCCCTTGAGGCAAACAATTTCACCGGGTTCCCCATTTCATTCCACCTACAATAAGGGCGAGGGGAGTGGCCCCAATGACATTTATCAATTCTTCCCCAAAAACGGGAAATGGCAAAAGCCATCAATGGAGACCTCCAGGGGTCGCTTCCTTTTTCATACAGTATTTAAGAGGATGGGGAGACCATTTTGTCCCATCTCCCTGCTAAAAAGTTCAAACGTCTCCCCAGGGCGCCTCAAAGAGTTGAAGAGCTCGGCGATTTGGACTGCACTACTTCCCCCGCCAAACAGAAATGAACTACCCTTTCGGGTGCCTCCATTTGCTTGGAAAAGCTGCAAACATATTATGTTCCGTTGTGAAACCGGTTGCCTTCAAAACATTAAAACATACAGAGGACATAGCACATAATATGTTTATAAACGCGAAATGAAGTACTGGTTCGGGTAAACGGAAAACTCGCCCTGAAGTCATGCTATCGAACGAAGTCCTTCGGCCATGCGCTGGAAACATCTTATCAATGGAATCCATGGAAATAGGTGTGACACAAGGGCCCCCCCCTCCAATTGACCAACTGAAGCCGGCCCATTACAGTGAACGTGTTGAGGGTTACTTGGACTTGGATACTGCAAGGGCAGGATGTCATGCTTGTAGCCCAGCCCTTCAACTAGGAATGTGGTTTTGCTTGTTCACCACTTTTCCTACCAAGAACACTGAAGACACCCCGAAAATCCTCGGCTTTTCTTTCCGGAGGGCTCTTTTTGACCACACCCAACGAAGTGAACCTTCAAAATAATTTGGGGCTTGGAGGGGTTAAGCGTGGATAATTGCGTAAGTCGTAGCTTGGTACTCAGGGGGCCCACCCAGTCTTGGCATCTCTGCCGAAAGCACAACTACGTCGTAGAGACAGTTCTAGTGCCACGAAGGGAGGTTGATCTTTGAGCAGCATGATGAGCGCGAATGCCAAAGAACTCCTTGCAGCAGGAAGCGATCCACGGAAAATTCGAGCCTCCACGATGTGTTTTTCCGACCTCCATTTCACCTTGGGTGGTAACATGCAGGTGGAAAAAACAACAAACGGGTCCACTCTAGCTGCTTTCCTTTTGGATCCGGTCCTGAAAAAAAGGAAGCTCCCAGTGCTTCACAAAGGTCTGGGTATGTGTTTAATTAAATGTGAGGGCGCCTGCAAACAACGACGCTTTGGCTGTCTTGCCAGAGGCACGGATTGCTTAGCTTGCCGGGACAAAATGCCAATTCTAGATCAGCGGGGTGAAAGTGATGGTTTCAGTGCCTCCATGTGCTTGAGTCCCCCGGGACAAAAAAAAGAAGAAACTATTGTCAGTAGCGATTGGTTCCGCACTTCCTGAGTGGATTGGCCAAACAAAGTCCAAACTTTTCATCTGCCACCAGAACATAATCTTTGCTTAAGCAAGTGGAAGCCCAGGTCGGGTCAAATCAAAACCCGGTATTAAAATGGTCTACTCAGAACCATGTAAAGGATTAAGAAGCCGGATATCCACAGCTATCTATGGTTGGGATTGTCCCTTACTAACCTTCATCTACCCGGGTTTTGATTGTGGGTTAGATTCATGCCCAAAACTTCAATTTGATCTAGGTCGTCCAGTAGAGAGGTTAAAATAAGGGTACCCTTTTTTTTTTTCGGTCGTCTATTTTAGTGGGGGAACCCTCCCCCTCCCAACCAAAAAAGAGGTCAGAAAGGGCACCTAGCTGGGGGACCTAGCCAGGTTCATTCCCAAAACCAGTCTACCGAAGGAAGTTCCCTACAGAAGGCCTCCTGAGAGTGGATCGCTTCCGCAAACCGCTGGCAGTGGCGCAGCACCGTGTACCTCGCAATCGGGGGGTCGCGGGCTCAAAGCGAACGAGGGTGGCCGATGTGGGTGTTGCTTTGCTTGTTGCTGTTGGTTTGTTTTTGTTGTTCGTGGTTGGTTGGTTTGTTTGTTTGTTTGGTTGGTTTGTTTATTTCTTTGTTTGTGTCTTTCTTTCTTTTTTTGTTGGTGTGGTTTGTTTGTTTGCTTGCTTGCTTGCTGCTTGTTTGTTTGTTTGATTGTTTGTTTGCTTGCTTGCTTGGTTGGTTGGTTGGGTTGATTGTTTGTTTGTTTGTTTGTTTGTTTGTTTTGTTTTGTTTGTTTGTTTGTTTGTTTGTTTGTGTGTGTGTTTGTGTGTTTGTTTGTTTCTTTCTTTCTTTCTTTCTTTCTTTCTTTCTTTCTTTATTTCTTTCGTTCTTTCTTTCTTTCTTTCTTTCTTTGTTTGTTTGTTTGTTTGTTGTTTGTTCGTTCGTTCGTTCGTTCGTTCGTTTACTTATTTGCTGCTGTGTTTGCTGGATCTGGCTTATGGGCGGATTTAACTTTTTGCCAAACCGAGGCTGGCAAGCATTATTTCAGGCATGCATCTACTAGTACATCGTGCCCGGGCTCCGCATTGGAACGGGCCCCCGCCCCCTCTGCGTAAAGCCACAAGGATGATCTAATTCTCAGTTGCCCAAAGGACCTGTTTATAAAAGGTTAACCTTTTGGGACCTCTACTAAAAATAGACAAAAAGGGAAAACCAAAAGGTCGGCTTTGAACAACTGAGAATTACAACCAGCTGCTCGAGATGGATTCTCCATGCGCAAGCAGCAGCACTCCATCGGAGGCCTTGGCATGGTGTGGGGCCCGGTCCCACACTCACGGGGATTGGACCCCAGACTCGGAAAAGCTCTTGGCTTCTCGCTTGCCCAGTCGCCCAGTCGGTGCCTTTTTTTCAGGTCTCTGATTCGTCCTTGCCCTGGGCAGTAAAACAATTAGCAGGGTTGACTCAAACCTTAGTGGGGAAAGGGACTTTTGACCCGCAATTTCTGGCATTGGCCAGGAAAGAGCTTTCAGAAATTAAAAGACTGACCCGCCTGCCTCCACAACAATTAACACTTACAATGGTCGGTTGCCCTATCTCGATCTCTCTCTCTCTCTCTCTCTGCAATGGCCACAACAGTAGCCAAACTTTTTACCTAGGCCCCTAGGCCACTAACATGGCAGCCAACCCCAAAAACGTCAAAGTCAGAAACGGAACTCAGGAAGACAAACGCTTCCATTACTTCCATTTGCTTAAGCTTCCTGGAAAAAAAATAAAAGTCCAGCAGTGATCGATTCCCTTTAAACCCAGCAAGGGAAAATAAAACATGTTCTTAAGCAAATGGATGATGTCAGATGGGAGGCCATAATCATTAGACGCTTGGGGGTGGGACCTGTCTCGCCAAGCTACTCGGTGAGGACCTCCAAGTCCGCCAGAAAGGCACGGCCTAAGACCTGGCGGCGTCGGGTGAGCCGCTGCAAATCCGCCAGCAACCCTTCCATTTGCTTATGGTCCAAATTCCAGATTTTGTCTGGACATACTGCAGCATGGTTCAGATTGGGCTGATTTCCCAGCGTTTCGAACATTGAAGGATTTGGAGTGCCGCATCGGCCGCACCCAGTTGTTTGCACTCCCTTCAAAATGGACGGGCCCTGCCACCACCCTTCTCGCTCCTGAAGCACCTTTCTGGCGGCGATCCCAGGCAACATTGGGAGGTACTCGCGCGCATTGCGCGGATGATCCCGGGCGCGGAGCACGCTGGCGAAGCTGGGCGCGCTTCTCCACGACTCCGAAACAGATGCCGCAGAAGGTTTGGCCCCAGAAAGGCGTAACCCTTTACTAGCTGAGAAGACTTTGGGGTGGCTGGCAGGGTCCCTGGCATGTGAGTCCGTCTCAAATCAGGGAACCCATTTGGACAAGTGAGTTACAAAGGAGAAGCCCACGGAGGGATCCCCAACTTTCAGAAACCACAGCATTACCCCGAAAATCCTTAAAGGCCCTGGAAGTTATCACATCGCTCCCGCCTTTCGTCTGCCGCTCTCCTTGTAATTGGCAGGGTTTGCTTCCCAGTCCACGTCCAGCGTGCCCAAGACCGGCTTGCGCATCTTTTCGTACAGCGCCTGCACGCACAGCTGGTTGACGGTGGCCGCCTTGTGCCGCGTGCAGGTCGCGACTGTGGTGTCGGGGTGGCTGCCCCTGGCAGCCATAGCAGAGGTACCGTGACCATTTCGTCAGCTCTTTGGTAAGCCCTTGAAGCAAAACGCGCCTCTTACCCACGAGCCGACCGTTGGGCAAAGCGACAGGTGCGGCTGTACAAGACATCTACGTGAAGGCTAGTGCTTCAAAGGCCCAAACACGGCACTGGACTCCCACATAACAGGTGTCTGTTCAGGCAACCACCAAAATGGTCCAAAGGATGACTAACCCACCTTAAGGGGGAGGGCCAATTCCATGTATCTAGTCTTCCTCAAAGGGAGAATGGCTAAAACAAGATATTGAGGGACCCAGGAAAACTCACCGAAAGTGGGCGGTTTCCCTTTGGTTTGGGGGCTACAAAGGATTGGGCCATGCAGGTCGTAAAACCAACAGCTGCAGCTACATGCGGCGAGCCAAAGCTGCCTTGAAAACCGAAAAACGCGGCAGGCCACCCACCAGTACTTGCTTTGGGTGTTGTCCGTATCCTCGAAGATCAGCACCACCGCAGTGTCATTGCCTCCGGCTCCGCGGAGGAAGCCACGCCACTGATCGAGTGGACTGGCCAAAAAAAGTCGGGAACTTTTCTTTGTACCACCAACACGGCCCAAGCCCAAACAGTGACTAAAGTCCGAAACGGATTTCAGAAGATGAGAATTTCGGACTCTCCAGGGGGAGATTCACAACTCTTAAAATAAACTCGATAGTTTGATATGAGTTGGAATGACCCCGAATTGAACTATCTCTTGTGGTTTCCTGTAAGTTGAGCCGCATGTGCATCCCCCGAACTACTTCCCGAGTGGATCAGGGGACTGAACTTTTGGCTGGCCTCTAAAATGGCCCTCTTGGATTCAAGCCGGATATCGGGCACCCAAAGAACTTTGGCCTTGACAAGACTTGTCGAACCGAGATTTTCCCGTCTAAAGCAGTCCAATCGCTTCCATCTGACTCGACTCCCGCGTTTTGCTTGGTTCCTTGAAAAATCCTTCGATTTGCTTCGGGTTCCCAAGTGCTCTTATATGGCAAGGGGCGATACGTGGTGTGTAACCCAAACGGGTCTGTTTTTCTTTTGGGGGGGGGGGCGCCCGCCAAGTCTTCCTTCGGAGCCTAGGTCCGGGGAACCACTGGCGTGCGCTGGAGGTACTCAGTACAAGCATGATACATGAACATGTCCCAAAACTAGGCTGGAATTAGGACCCCAGCAAAAACATATGTTTGCTTGGTTAGTGGAAAACAAAGGAGACCCCAAAAAGGCAAAAAACGGAAACGGGGAGCCATTTCTGGGGAAGAAGTTTGGCAATCCCAAGTTTGGGTTTTTGTTTGAAAGGGGCGAGTTTTTGGGGTGCGTTGCTTGAGGGGCGATTCTTTGGGGCGCACTGCTGCCATTCGGGGAGCATCTGGCTCTGCGGGAAAGCGCCACACGCGTAAGTCGAGAGCTAAGCACTCGCGCTGATCTGCCCGGTCAGCGCGGCCATGAGGCACCGCGCAATGTCCTCAGAGCGGAAATCGGAGGCCGCAGATCTTCATCTGGCTGTGGTTGTCAAAACCGTTTTGGGATCCCATTTTGGTTGGTAGGTGAATTCACCACCCATTTTAGAACCAAATTTTAGTGGTTGGATTGAATCGGATGTTCACTGGGGGTACGATTTGGGTTTTGAGCCATAGCCATCTCAGCTTCCCTCGTTGCTTGGTGGTTTGGAGCCCGGGACAATCCAGCGGGCTCCAAACCACCGATCAAGGGGAACCTGATCATCTGAAAACCGCTGGTGCGATACCCTCTGAAAAACTTGCTGGTGCGATAGGTGGGGAATGAGAATTGGAATGAACCGGAAAAAAAAGGTGCCCTTAAAGAAAACCACCAGTTGGATGGTTTCTCTTGGGGTCATTGCACGTCTCATTCCCTTCCGAGAACGCACCAGCCAAACAAACATGGAACCAAACAGGTTTTCCAGGGTAGGGGGTTCCTTTCAGGTTCCAGGATTGTTATTCGGTAATCCTCATTAGATCCTTTTTCTTGGGGATCCGAGATGTATTGTTCTCATTTCAGGATTGGAATGCAGTTCCATGGTCTCCCCCAATGTGTGGATGCATACCAGGGTCTCCGAATTCGGGGAAGAAAAGGGATCCCGGGAAAACTGGGCTTACTAGCCGTTCAGCAACCCTGAAATCAAACATGAGTGTCCATGTTTAGCTCAGATGACCAGTGGCCAGGGGAAAAAAAGAGCATCCTTTTTTTGGGTTGGTTGGGAACCCCTCCCCAAAAAAAAGGATAAAAGGGCGCCACTCGGCACCTGGGATAGGGGAAAAAAATTAGTAAAAGATTGATTCTAGGGTAGGGTATTTTCAGTTCAGGGCTTCAGGGTTCAGGGTCAGTTTTCAACAAGCAAACCATTTTGTTCAAAACACCAAGGTTGATTGTGGGGAATTTTCCTAAAATTTCTCAACATTTTTTTTTACATTTTTCCATTTAATAACAGTCTAAGATATTGACATTTTCAAGGTTCGGGTTGCAAACAATTTTAAGGCTTTCTGGGGGATATAAGTGTTTAATCATATTATAATTTAATATGAATAAACAAATTATTATGTGTCAGTTTTATTATGTATTCTTTCCATATTTGAAATATGCTTTAAACTTTTAACGTGTCTGTTTATATCATATTTCTTTACTATATCATTACAATAGAAACAATCTACATATTCGTCATCCCGCTTTTCTTTTGCCTTGGTTCATAGTTCAGTTTTATGTCCTTTGTAATATTCTTTATTGTATTGACTTACCTTATCATTATGTTTTTGTCTATATCTTCGTCTTGCTTCTAAACAAATATTACAGTTGTTATTTTCGTTCTCAAAAATATCAAGTGTCCTTTTCATTTTACATTTAGAGCATTGTTTCATTTCTTCGGTCATTTATTCCTACTATATTAAGGGGTCTTTTCTTTAAACATTTTCAAGGGTCATTTCTCAACATTTTTTTACATTTTTTTCATTTAATAACAGTCTAACATTTTGACATTTTCAAGGTCCAGGTTTCAGACCATTTTTAGGCTTTCTGGGAATAGAGGCAGGCTATGTTGAAAACAGGCGGTTTTTGAAAATCGTTCTCCAAAACACTCTGTTTTAGAAAGCCGTTTTCTAAAACACTCTGTTTTACATGTCGCCGTCACTCTGTTTGCTATGTTGCCGTCACTCTGGTTGCTACGTTGTTGTCACTCCATGAGCCGTATTGATGCCACCCATCAACACACCCACATTTCAACGTTGAACCCAACCCCACAAATTCCAAACCCACAACCCAAACCCCCACCCAAAAAGACTTAAAGAAATAATACCATATATAGTATAGAGAAATGGCAGGGGATTACAGCACGGGTTCAGTAATTGAATATTTAATATCCAATAATGAAGGTCAAATAAAAACAGGGAAGAATAACAAACCATTGAAAAAACTAATCATTAACAACAAAGAATACTATTACAACAAAGACAAACCATTATCCTCATCACTTCAAAACAAACTCAATCAAGTCAGCAACACACAAGGTTTCAAACGATTTCATCTTCTTAAAAAAGCATCAAACACGATGAGGGGCATTAAAACAATCCAGAAATACAGATTAAAAATAGGAGCAAAAACATCAGAAACATTTTCGGCATTGAAAGGATATGCCAACACATATTCAATATCCAACATAACATTCAAGGGATACAAAGGATTAACATATATTTTATGGCAAGAAAAGAAACTAACAGAGTTTTTACAACAAGCAAAATCAATGAAACTACTGATTGATGTTGAGGTTATTTTTGATAAAGTTAGTCAGCAAGAAGAGGATGATGGAGAAGATGAACCAACTGAGGAAAATATACAAACAAAGCACAATATGAGGAGCAGGAGATACAACATTCTAAATGTAGGAGACTTGAAAAAAGCCTTGGAAAATATGCCTAAAGATATTGAACTACAAATTGAAAACTCACCTTTGAAACATTCAGGATTGAAGATTAATAAGATTAACAAAATCACCATCCACTACGACAAATACAACCCGAACAGAGCAGGAAAATATATGGAACTACCAGAATGGATTTCAAAGAAAAAGGCATGTATCAACATACAGAATGAAGATGAGTTATGCTTCAAATACTGTGTTTTATGTAAATTTTATGAAGTCTTCAAGAAAGATCATCCACAACATATGAGACACTACAAGAAATTAATAACTACTGAAAGTCTAATTCAATGGGATGGTGTAAATTTTCCAGCATCCAACGATGACATAGACCATTTTGAAGAAATCAATAACAAATCTATATCAGTTAATGTTTATGTTGAAGATGTGAACCAAACCATCAGAGCAGACAGAATAACAAAAATTGAAAGACCATCTTGTCATATTAACTTATTGCGGATTGAACAAAATAATAACGAACACTATGTTTTAATAAAATATTTTAGTAGATTAGCAGGAAGACAAACAAACAAAACAACTAATAAAATGTTTTTTTTGTAGTTTTTGTCAGCACGGTTTCAAGTCAGAAAAACTTTTAAATTCTCACTTAATAAAAGGTTGTATGGCAAATGACATTCAACAAACAAAAATGCCAAAAGAAGGAACATCAATGAAGCTTGAAAAGCATTTTAAGAAACTGAAAGCGCCATTTGTTATTTACGGTGATTTTGAATGTTTAACAACAGAAACATCAGAAGGCATCAAAGGGACTTATCAGAACCATAAACCCAGCGGTTATATGCTTAACCTTGTTAATGCTTATAGTGGAGAAATGACACCATATTTATACAGAGGCGAAGATTGTATGGATAAGTTTTGTGAAAACTTAAACAGTATTAGAGATGATGTTATGGAACAAATGAAAAATTCAAAAAACATATTGATATGTCAGATTTAGATGAAATTAAACATTTAGAAGCTAAAAAGTGTTTCTTATGCAATGGCGCTTTTGACAACAGAGTAGAAGCGAAAAAGAAAGTTGCTGACCATTGCCACTTTACGGGATTATACAGAGGAGCGGCACATATGAAATGTAATATAGACTATTGCTTTAAAAAAATATCATATACCAGTATTCTTTCACAATCTTAAAAACTATGATGCTCACCTAATAATTTCTAATCTTGAAAAGTTAAATACAAAGAAAGAAAGCATATCAGAAATAGCACAGAACAGTGAGAAGTTTATTACATTTTCATTAAACAGACTTGAATTTAAGGATAGTTTCAGTTTCTTGTCATCGTCATTAGAAAAACTGGTTAAATTAACAAAATATGAAGATAATAAATTAAGGGACAACTGGCAGGAACATTTTAAATATAGTTTCAAAGGCAAATACATTAAAAACGAAAAAGATTTATTTTTACTGACAGAAAAGGGAGTTTATCCTTATGATTATTGTAATGACTTCAATAAATTTAATGACACTGAACTACCAGAAAAGAAACATTTTTACAGTAGATTAAGTGAAGAAGATATAAGCGATGCTGACTATGAAAGAGCAAAACTAATATGGAAGCACTTTAACATTAAAAACCTTGGTGAATATCATGATTTATATTTAGAAACCGATGTATTATTATTAACCGATGTATATGAGAATTTCAGAAAACAGTGTCTAACTGATTATGAATTAGACCCAGCCCATTATTATACATTACCTAACTTTGCTTGGGACGCGATGTTATTAAAAACAGGAATTGAACTTGAACTTTTACACGATGAAGAACTTTATAATATGGTTGAGAAGGGTTTGAGAGGTGGAATGTGTCAGGTTTCAATGAGAAAAGCAGTAGCGAATAATAGGTATATGGGTGATGATTATGATGAAACAAAACCAACAACCTACATCAATTATTTTGATGCTAATAATCTTTATGGACTGGCAATGTGTAAAAAACTACCATATAAGAAACTTAAGTTTGTAAAAGATAATTTCTCAGAAGAAGACATTAAATATTACAATAGTGATTACAGCAGCAAAGGATATATTTTAGATGTTGATTTAGAATATCCGAAAGAATGCCACGACAAACATACTGATTACCCATTAGCACCAGAAATTATGAGTGTATCAGCAGATATGCTTAGTGATTATCAGAAAGACACCTACAAAGCATATCATTTTAATAATGATCCAAAAGATGAGAAAACAAACAAGTTGATACTAAATGTTATGGATAAACAAAATTATGTTTTACATATTGACATTTTAAAATTATATTTGAAACAAGGACTTAAAATCAAGAAAATAAACAGAGTAATAGAGTTTAGACACAAGCAATGGTTGAAACCGTGGATTGACTTTAACACAGAGAAGCGAAAGAACGCTACAAGCGACTTTCAGAAAGATATGTATAAGTTAATGAACAACGCTGTATATGGAAAAACGATGGAAAATGTGAGAAACCATATTGACTTTGAACTTGTTGATACTCCTGAACGCTACCAAAAATGTGTGAATAATCCAAATTTCAAATACAGACATATCATCAATGAAAATCTTATAGGAGTTGAAAAAGCAAAAAGTGTAGTTAAATTGAATAAACCAATATATGTAGGAATGAGTATTTTAGATTTATCAAAACAACATATGTATTCATTTTACTATGACATTATGAAACCAAAATATAAAATAATATCAGAATGTTATATACTGATACTGACAGTTTTGTATTACATATTAAAACCGAAGATGTATATGATGACTTTAATGACATTAAGGATTATATGGATTTCAGTGGTTATGATCCTAAACACAAATGTTATGATAAAACAAACAAGAAAGTTTTAGGAAAATTCAAGGATGAAGCGGATGGAAAGATTATAACAAACTTTATAGCATTGAAACCTAAATCTTACTGTTTCAAGATACATAACGAAGAGAAAGAAGAAAAGAAGAGCAAAGGAATAGTTAAACACAAAGTTAAGAAAGAACTGACATATAACTCTTATGATGACACATTGAAAAACAATAATGGCGACACAGTAACATTCAACAGCATAAGAAGTAAAGCGCATCAAATATACAGCATACAACAAACAAAACAAGCATTATCAGCCTATGAAAATAAAAGGTATTACATAGACAGTATAAACTCCTTACCTTATGGTCATTATACGATTAGAGCATAGTAAAATTACAAATATACTTAAAGAAATAATTATATTATATATTAAGTAAAATGACCTGTTTTATTGTAGATGGCAATACAAATAAAATTTCTATGACAAATGATGAGTTTGATTTGTTGTGGAATTCTATTGAGGGTGAAGTTTCAGACTTCAGCACGGATACAGAGGAAGAAATTAAGAAGGCAAAGGAAAAGGAAAATAAGAAAAAATATACTGTTGTATTAAACAAGAAATATAAAGAAGAAGGATACTTTAAAGAGTATTTTATAGAAAATGATAAGTCATTAGAATGTGAAAGATGCGGGTGTATGATTAAAAGTAAGTCTAATATGGCAAAGCATTTAAGGACTGATAAATGTAAAATAATTCATAGAGAAAGAGCATATCAGAATGCTGTTGAGAAAGTTTGTTATAAATATTTGACTAATTCAAATTGATAATATATTATATAAAATATTATCAATTTATTACTCTTAATCATTTATTAAGAGTAATTCGTGTCTATTATATTTCTTTGTATTCCCTTCAATTTCATAATATTTATTAAGCATCATATCACGACCTACATTTGAAATGGTGTATATATTATTATGCCAACGGCTTGTGGTTTCTTTTCTTGATGTGTAATTACCTTTTCCTTTGTTATAAATTTTGACTTTATCACCGACATTTAATTTAGGATACTTTCTTAAATATTTCTCTTTCATTAATGAGTTCGCCTTCGCTTCCACTGCGTTTTCGTCTTTGTGTGCTTCATTAGGTGTAAGTTTTGTTGTCCCGTGTGTCATTTGTTGATTATACTTGTTTAGGACTGCTTGTAATAAACTCGTCCAAGTTCTATTAGTCGCTTTTATTCTGTCTCCCAACATCTTTTTAACTGTGCGAATGGAGCGTTCAGCAACATTAGCGTGTGTCAATGTTATGATGCTTCTTATTGCTTCACCTTTTAAATACTCTTGAAATTTCTTATATGCGAATGCCCCGTCATCATCTGTATAAATACTCATCGGATGACCTAATACTTTGAAGCATTGAAGTATTGCTTTATAAACAGTCTCACCGTCTCTAACCTTCATCGGTTCAATGTGTAGT